AATCAGCGCGAATTAACATTTTCATATTATTATTTACAATTCCATCACATATAAAATTATTCTTAGCATGAAAATAAACCAAAATATAGTAAACAAAAATCAATCGCTTGGATAATGCATCCTTGAAACTATCGATAAATATATAATACTTACTGATACTGATAACATTATATTGACTCTCTATACTAGAAGGTTCTACGAAACTTTTCAAGCAACAGCAAACATTTTGCTCTTTCTTTTAAATCTAAGAAACACATACTGCTTTTAAATAATTCTGGGAACAAAATCTAATATCGCGATTTCATTTTCCAACAATGGGGTGGAATTTTGTAAGAAGTAGAAAGTCACTTCAAATGAATTTGCACAAATTTCTTAAGAAATTCGCCTGGGGGTGAATTTTCTAAAATCGATTTAACGATTTAACGTATGTATTTATTTCGTGTGTAAATAATTGAAAGAAACAAGATTTGCTGAGCCGTGCGGATCACATTTTCAATGCTGAACAATTAATTTAATGGCAACAGTTTCCACAAATACAACGATTCTGGTGTCGTGGAAATAAAATGAAAAACCATAAGTTGAACTCGATATTTTATTTGAACTGATGTATTCCAGAATTACTAGCTTGGTCTGTCAAATATTTTTAAGAACCACCTAAGGCTAATGTTTCAATTCGATCAACCACATTAAGCATAATGCAAGCTCCAAGCATGAAGTGCATCACTAAAACAAAAAAAATAATAATAAGAATAATAATAAAAATAATAAACCCAACAGCCGGCAACTGCGGCTACGTGCGGGTACAAATTGTGCAACCACTAAACACCGTCCACAAATTGATACCGATCCAAGCGATAATGACACCCAACAGCTAACCGCTGAGCGAGTCCCTCCAGGGAGTTATCATCTTGTCGGGCATTGCCAGCGCTGACCGAAAAGTGCAAATGTCGCATATTAAATTAACGTTGACGGTCCCAACAACAACAGAATTATCTGATGCGTATAAAAAGGCGGTAACAAGGGCAAAAAAAAAACAAAAAAACAAAAACAAACAAGTCCCAAAGCGATGGACTAGAAAATTCCCTGTAGGCGTATCTAGCATGTCGTACCTCACATCATTCTTTAGATAACGAACAAAAGTTATAAGTGGAAAATTAGGATTTCAAAATTGATTTAATCTGCATATGTATTTATTTGCGAAACCATAGTCATTGACAAATTTCTTTATATATATTTAAATTCTAATCGAAACATTCATTTTTAATTTTAAGTCATTTAATATGAGGTTACTTTAATATTACATTTTTGTTTTTGTTTCGTTAAATCTCATTTGAATAAATTGTGTATTGTTTGAAGTCCACAATAAATTTCTTAACAAATACATGAATGTAATAATGTACCTCAGATATTCTCAAACACAGTTAACTCAGCTGTTAATGGCCATCATCAAATTGTCTATGGGTCAATCAATATCTGTTTATCATATCCGTAAAGGCGTTTGAATTGCGCAGGGTAATCGGGAAAAGTGTCATTAAAATTGAAAGCGCTTTATCTGTTCGTTTGTAAATGTTATGGCGACTAATGAGAACTGTCAACGCCAGCCGCACCATCAACTGGCCAACTAGTCCATCAATCAGTCAGTCAGCCATAACGTACAGTTATTGTCATTTATGCAATTTGTCAATTTGCCAATTTAACACAGAAAAAAAAATTAGATATTGTGATTTCTTGTGAATACATTTATTGGCTGCAAATCGATGAGCATCAAAGCAATAGTTTTACCTGGCTAGTGGGCAAATAAGGGCATAAGACTTGTGTTTATGGAGTATATCAATTTCATTTAAAATGACACCGAAACGGCTTGAAAGCTGTACAAAATACATTACTCATACGCAGCGTAGCGTTCAGGTTCACTTGCTCAGCTGCGTCCAGACAAAGCCGAATAAACAAGAAGACAAAATCAGCAGCCCGACCTCGTCAAACTCAGATATATTTATTTACGTATGAACGTATGCTGCCGACTATAAAAAAGGCATTGTAATAATTCAAAATGTGAAGAAAAAAAAAAGAGAAAAAACACCCTGTCTAGACTTTTTTGCAGCGACAAAGCGAAAATGTTTGAGACATGAAAATTGCTTTTCATATACATAGATGACTGCATTGTTTACGTAGTGCCATTTTATTAAAGTCACTAAAGGCCGCCGGGTACGAAAAGTCAAAATTTCCATTTTACAAAATAGCATTTATAGAACTTTACGACCAACAACAACAACAACAAAAACAAAAACAGAAACTAGACAGAATCTTGGACGCTTATATTGACGCAATTGATTTGAACAAATTTTTTCGACGGATTTACTTGTGCTTTGTTGTTCTGATATATAAGAACAAATACAAATACATATATCCTAATATACATAATACAACGATGCATATACATTTGTAAACACAAATTGGCCATAAAATTGCGTTCGCTAAATTAAATCGAAATATTTTCGGTTAACAAAAATTCTAATTACAAAATGTTTCCAAAGCACATTAAAAAGAAAAACCGAGCCCTAAATAATAAACGCCAACTCAATCGTTCTCCATAAAATCAAATCAACAAAATATCAATAACAAAACATCAATAATGATGATATATGAGTTATAATCAAATGGCTTTGAGTCAGCAATGTTGGCATCGTGGCTAAAATGGAAATTCTATTGACAAACGGATTATTCGTCGTTCGCTGTCCACCACTCAAAACAAACGCCGGTCAAACCATAACAAAATCGCATTTAAGTATAATTCTCAATGTGTTGCGACTTTCATGGATAATTATAGACTGTACATATATATATATAAGTCTACAAATATGTATATAGGTAAATAGAAGAATGTGTGACGCCTTCAAATGTCCGAGACATGAGCGATTCGGGTCGTCGGACAGCAGCTACAACTACAACAAACAACAGCATGCAACAAAGATATAATTGATGAGAACAGTGAGCCCAAATTGTTTTCAAAAATTCTGTTGTCGTTGCTAATATATATGTATGAATGGGGCCTTTTTCATGTTTTAAGGGACACATAATTGTGTATATGAGATAAAAGATTCTTTTCAAAAGAATATTTGCAAAATAAATTTGTTATAAAAAAAATACTGTCGTCTGCAAATGTTTAAATTTTGCAAACATTTAAAGCTGAAACATAACTCAGAAAACGCTCGAACTTTTCGTGAAGCGATGGCAAAACTTTTGCTAAGCAAATGGTTGGCGCTTAACCCCAAGCTTAAGGCTTAAGGCTAAAAAGAAACATAACTAATACAGCGGGAAATAATTTAAAAAAAAAAGCTGAAATATGCAGCTGTATAAAAACAATACAAAATAAATACCAAAGCTATTCATATTCAATTTGTTGTCATAAATAAAGAAATAAACCCGCACGCTACACACAAACCATATACATATTTCCTTGATAGAAATGACATCTGCTACGATTTGCCATTTCCTACCTATTGATCCAACAAACAACGCTCGTAAAGAGCACAAGCACAAGCACTGCTCGCACATTCATTTGACAATTCCTTGGAACAGACGAGACGCGCAATGACAGGAATAATCAAATCTACACACGTCTGTGCGTGTGAATGGATTGGAACCCTAGTCAGTCAGGGTAGTTGACCAAGCGGGAGAACACATGATGACATTCAAATTTATATAAATATTTCTATGTTTTCCATGCTGAAAAATTCTATTCAATATTCGCAGCAAATTGACTTTTGGGTCATAAAAACTCATACAGGCGTCAAACGTTCTGCTCCTTGCAAATCAAAATTCTAACGCTCTCTCTGACATCAACTTCCAAGCAACTGTCAATTGTCACAGTGCTGCCATCTGTTTTCAGTGAGCTGTTGTTGTTTTTCTTTATACTGTTGTTGTTGTTGTTTTTGCTGTAGTGCACATGTAAAAGCTACCAGCTAGCAGATAGAGTGAGAACGGAAAGCTCTCAAATACAATGCACTGCAAATACAATCAGCTGAGCGTCAGAGCTTTCAATATGCTGCGCAGTTTCGTACGAGCGCAAATGCAAACAAACATATGTTTGTGTTTTTGTACGTGTGTCCGCCACAACAAAGCACAGCTGAGTGAGAGAGCTTTGTAAATTAATGCGCTCACAACGCGTGCTCTAATGCTCCGCTCTCGCTCTCACGCGCCTACGTTTGCTCTGTCTTTCTGTCTCTCTGCCTGTTTCAATTACCCGTCGCTCGCACCCCCTTCCACTGTAAAAACTCGCTCGCTTATTGCGCACCTTTCAAGCTGTCAACATAGTGAACCCCACTGAGTTGTTACGACAACATTACGAACCTGACATCATTTTCGCAGCAAGGCAATGGAAATTTTAAAATGCTTTTATATTTGCATTCATCCCTCAGTTTACAAATTAATGCTGCCTATCATAATAAAAATATGCTACGCACATTTGGGGGAGTTGCTTGTAGCGTGTATTTACTGTGGCATGACCGTTGACTTTATAACTGGTTTTCCAGACAAATTCAAACGGTGGCGCATCTGGCAACGCACAGGCCGCCCAATTTTTAGTAGATTTAGGGCCGCTGTGAAGTGTACAAAGCATTTGCAAGGTCATAGCAAATGTGTTTTTACAAAGATCTATAATTTTTCAGTTCTATTTTTGCGTGCCCCTAACCCAAAAAACAGCAAAAGCAGCGCAGCAATATTTTTATTTGCAATATAGCTATATAGCCGAAACTGATTTCGTAATTGATCGTGTGTGTATTTATTTACGTCGCAAGGTCGCTGTCAAGCATTTACATTTGCACTGGGCCCGTTGGAGAGGGCCCAACTGTGGGGCCTCAGCCCAACGACAAAAACTTAACAACCTATGCGATATGTGTACTATAAATCATTTCCATTTACTCTACTTGGCGGTCCCAAATTATTTTGTGATAAGTTCTTATCTGATTGGAGCTGCAGGGGCGGTAAATTGCAAAAGTGCTAGATGAGAATCTGCATCAGATGAGAACTTAGTGCATCGTTTAATTTGGAATATGTCTATAAAAATTATTTAGCTCAAGCGAAGCGCCCCAAAAACGTGTAACGTGAGCAAAAAGCTTACCGCAAATCCGCCCCTGTGCGCATGACGGCGACCTACACAGAAAAAAAAGCACACAAACTGGCAAAACGGGCCAGAAGAATACATACAACACGGAGGCGAGTTCGTTCTTGTGTTGTGGTTTAGTTGAGCGTTTGGTGGCGTTGCGAACGGACAGAGAGACACCATCGAAATCACCATAACCACCAGCTGGAGCTGGAGCAGCAGCAGCAGCAGCATTAGCGACAATTAGAAAAGCTTAACAATAACAAAAACAGAGAGTTACTCATCATTGGCCTGGCTTTTTGTCGTAGTAAACACCATTGGATTATTAACATACACACGCCACACGAAAGAGCGTCGGAGAGAGGAGGGAGAGAGGGGCTGTAGTTGGACTGGCAAGTGGCCCCCACAACACACAAACACACACGCATTTGTTGTGTGTTTCTTTGTTTCGGCAACAACAATTTTGTGTTAAATTAGTGCGCAATTACAACAAAAAAGCAGCAACAACAGCATAGAAAACAAAAGCAACGTGCGCAGCAATTTGTTTAAATTGACGAATGCAATAAAAACTGCGCAAAACTAAATAATAAGCGCAAAAAGTTGCATCACGCAACAACAACAACAAAGACAGCAACAACAAATTCAATGCAAAACGAAATTTAAGTTCTACAAAAATCAATAAGCAGCAGCAACAACAGCGAAGGAGCTGAGACGGGCTGCGACTGACAAAATTAACAAGAACAGCAAGAGCGAGAACAAGAAGCAGAACAGGCATAGACGGAAGCTGTAACAAAAAGAAGAAGAAGAACAAGCACAACGACACACAGCAGAGATCGAAAGCTTCTCAAAGCGCGCTTTCAAACGGAATCAAAAGTGAAACGTCTAAAAATTTACATAATTGCATTTGTAGACACTGGCCGTGTTTAAATAAAGATGCCCTCGTTGCTGGAGGCGCTGGAGCGCAAATATTTCGCCGAATGCGAATTCGAGAATGCCAATCAGCCCGAGCTGCACAAGCGCTCCGATCTGCCCAATGACTTTACCGTAACCAAATGCGGCGGTCGCATGGAATTCTCCATATTCATACCGCGGCTCTCCCCGCTGACCAGTGTGCCCGCCCTGCTCGTCCTCAATGACTGCGACATCGATTGTGCCGGCGATTTCGACAGCATCCGGGAGAAGTGTCAGCGTGTGCGTGAGCTGGATCTGGCGCAGAACAAGCTGCAGGACTGGCAGGAGGTGTTCAACATACTGAAGCATATGCCGCACATTGAGTTCTTAAATTTGAGCAAAAATCAACTGATGAGCGCCCCGCCCAGTTCGCTGCTGGCGGCGCCAACCGTCAATCTGAAGAGTCTGGTGCTCAATGGCACGTATCTGGACTGGATGTGTGTGGATGCATTGTTGCAGAATCTGCCGGTGCTGCAGGAGCTCCACCTGAGCCTGAACAACTACAGTGCTGTGCTGCTGGACGCTGCACAGGAGTCACTGGAGGAGAAGTTCCACAGCTGCCAATGTGTGCCACAAGCACACAATAAAAATGAAAATCCGCAAACGGAAACGGAAGTGGAGGTGGGGACGGAAGCGGACACTTGCTGTAATCTGTGCCAGGCTCGACGCAAGCTGACACAATCACATGCGGCATTGAAGACGCTCCACTTCACCGGCAATCCCATCGAGCACTGGCAGGAAATTTGTCGCCTGGGCCGGCTCTTCCCCAGCCTGGAAGCGCTCGTGCTCGCCGAATGCCCCATCAAATCGCTGCAGGCCGGCGCCGAACTGGACTCGGCCAGCGCCAGTGAGTGCCACAAATACTTTCCCTGCCTCAAGCTGCTCAATTTGAGCTGTGCCCAGCTCAACAGCTGGGCGGACATTGATGAGCTGGCCAAATACGATCAGCTGCAGAATCTGCGCGTCAAGCATTGGCCCCTGTGGGAAACGCTGGAGTGCACGGAGCACGAGCGCCGCCAGCTGCTCATTGCGCGTCTGCCCAATGTGTCCATGCTGAATGGCGGCGGCAAGATCAGTGTCGATGAGCGTGTGGACGCCGAACGTGCCTTTGTTCGTCACTATATGAACAAACCGGAATCGGAGCGGCCGGCTCGCTATGCGGAACTGTTAGAGGTGCACGGTCAACTCGATCCACTGGTCAATGTCAATCTGAAGCCGGAGAAGCGTGTCAAGGTTCTGTTTACGTACAACGAAATCAGCGAGAGTCGTTTTGTGGACATCTATTTAAGTGTGAGCGATCTCAAGCTGAAGCTGGAGAAACTCATCAATCTGGCGCCAAACAAAATGCGGCTCTACTATCTGGATCAGGACTACAAGGAGCATGGGCCCGAGGAGATGCGCTATCCGAACAAGCAGCTCTACAGCTACAATATTCAATCGGGCGATGAGATCATCATTGATGCCAAGAAGTAAACAATTGAACCATGCAACTGCAACGATTGGCGGGGTGCTAACAGCAACAAACAAACTTGTGATCTTGTATCATGCTAACTAACGGATACAACGGATACCCTAATATATATACACATATACATATATATATAAATAATACAATTTAAAACATAAATCGATGAATATTCATATATGTATTTTTATTATTATTATTGTTTTCCAACTTTCCACCTCCAACAATTACTGTATATACATTTAAATGGCCAAAACGTGCACACAAACACACAACGAACACACACACACACACACAAATTTGCATACATATATATATTAATTATCGTCTAACCTTAGCCAGCTACAGACTAAAAACAAACAAACAACAACAAAAAAAGCATTACATTAAAATTTAAAACCAATTATTTTGCCTCAATTATTATGACTAACTTTTGACGAATTATGCAAAACATTTTTTCCTCTTTGGCTGCAAACAAAAAGTTGTTCAAAAAGCTGTCGCTCTATATTTGGTAGACTTTTCACCGATAAGATACAATATCTATGAGTTTTTTTTTTCTTTTTTTTTTTGTGTATGTCACAATATACTTTATATGACACTCTAGAATTCTCATCGTGCTGAGAAGCAGGTGGCAGGTGGCAGGTTGCGGGGCCTCTGTCAACGAGTTGCTTACGAGCTCTCAATTATGGACAGAGACGTTCAACTTGATCTATTGCCAATAATACGTAAGCCAAAAATTTCCGACATTCTGCGAAGAGTGAAGAGAGTTCTGTGTACACAAATACGAGTACAATAAATATATCAATATTATTATTATTATTAGTTTATAATAAGCTGAAACTTGTTTCGCATATCCCACACACAATTAGCATCGCTATAAGAATGATGGTCTCTAGTGGGAGACATTATGCATGGTTGGCGTATATTTAGCACTTTTTATTTCCGCAATTTCTGTGAGGTGTTTTGTATACAAACTATAAACATCTATTATCTTATGGACAACAAAGCGAAACTGCTAAATTACGACAATATAGTTCATTTGAAATGTTTAAATTGCCAGACAATGAAAATTTTGTTTATAAATCTTATAGGAATTGAACCAACTTAGTTGGCTTACATTATACATTTTGAAAATTTACGCGATAATAACAAAATAAAGCTTGGCTTATCTCAAATAATTTGCAAACTTTTTACGTTTCTAACTTAATAAATAATATCTGAGTCAAATGTCAAGAGAACTAAAACTGAGTTGGAAAGCTAAAAACAATCTTATAAAGTAAGTTTAAGATGAATTCAATATTTAAATATTCAAATCAAAAGAATTAAGACCATGAAAACTTCTATGGAATAAAAGATACAAATAATATTTCTTAAAGATGAATTTTTCTGCATTCTTTTCAAACTGACCTGCCCAGGGGCAGATTACGAATTCCTTGTGACAAGTAACAAGTCCCATAAATCTGGGTCAATGTGGTGAGTGTGGTTGCCTAAGACCTAAGGCTGACATTTTGAAGAAATACGAGCTTATTACAATTTTCTGTAGACAAAATTGCGCACGTCAATGTAACTGTATTTTATCTGTATCAGCCAAAACGTTTCCATGCTTAACGTAATTTTCCAATTAAAATGGCACCCCCCAAAATCGAATCCCACCCATATTTGCATTATTTATCTGCCAAAAAGGGGGCATCGTAATGTTAATGACGTACATCAGCCATGTGGCACGTTGTCGACAGAAACAAAAAAAACCTCCACAGATCGTGACTAAACTAAGGAGCCGGCTAAGCGCCCACTCGATGTGACACGCTCTCGCAAATCAGAAAAAAATATATAAAGAAAACAGAATGTGCGAAAAGAAAAAACAAATGTCGAAAATGAAGTCGTCGCAAAAATTTTATGAGGGCTTCCCAGGTGCAATTAAATAAAGTAAAATAAAATACAAAATAAAATCAAATCAAATAAAGGTCTACGTAGGTGACCATAAAAATGCAAGGTGTGTAGAAAAAACACACTGCTTATAATTAACAAAATATACACATAGAGGTTATTTTTTTTTTGTTTTTTGGAAAGTCTATGGCTGAAAAGGTTTTAACACTCGGGCCGCTTAACAGACGATCGAGTTGTGAACTGAACGCCAAACGCGACACACGTCGCCAAAATACCGATTAGCCAATTTGAGGGTTCATTTTTTTTTTATTTTGCGATAGTGCAGTGAAGTGAAGGGAGATCTTAGTGCGGGATAATGCATACAGCATGGATCCCGAAAACGATGTTTATGCTTTCTATGATATAAGAGGTTACAAGGGGTACGAGAACAGTGCAGTAGATTCTCTCAATTTGATTTCAACTTGGTGTGCTTAATGTTTGTTAATGAATGTTGTGTGTATTCTTGCAGGAAATGTAGACCGGCGGGACCAAACAAATCGCAACGTTTTCGGCAACCGCGAATGTCACTCCTAGGGAAGCCGCTGAACTATAATCGCGGCACACATCGCCGCGATGCGCGCTACCGGCGGATGCAGAGTCGCCTGTACAACTTTCTGGAGCGACCGCGGGGCTTGCATGCAATATTCTATCATGTGATGGTGTGAGTATAACAAAAAAAAGCAACAAAAAAAAAAGAAAAAGAAAAACAATACTTTATCTAACAGTTCAAATAGCCCGCTTGTTAAACTTGTTTGCCAAAATTATCTCTAGCCACTTGTTAAGTTGTAAGGCATTGATTAAATTCGAGAGCAGTAATACAAGAGTATTAATACAATCAGGCGGTTTGTTCTTTATAAAATTAAAACAAAGTTTTACAGTTGACGAAATGAGAAAGTTAATTCATGAAAAATACACTGCTAAAATACATAGTTACTATTTCTAATCAAATACACAGCTAAAATACATAGTTACTATTTCTAATCAAATTTTCCATACGATCTTCTGCATAGCCTCAACTTTTTCTGCCATTTGACATTTGGCATTCTTAAGAACTTTATAAATGTAAAATTTACAATTAATAAAATGAGTAGATAGATTTACAAAGTTATATCATATACAGTATATATACAGTAAACATTCGACATAAAATATCGTATTTATAAACAGTAATCATAGTTCGCTCCTAACTATAACGATCTTCGGCATAAAATATCCTATTTATTTTACGCAATTAAATTTTTTTACAATCTTATTCAAAATAAAATGCTAAAAACAAATATTTTTATATTAAATATTCTCACTAAAGCGTTGTCTTTTAGCTTTTATTATATGTTGGCTGCAGCAGCAAAGAACTTTTAATTGATAATAAATTGTTTACATGCTTGAGATTGAAGCCCCGCGTGACTTAATATAAATAGCTTCTTGTTAGTTGCATATGTCGATAACATTATATTAAGTCACTAAGCAGACAATAAAATACAAGACTAAGCTTTGGCTACTAGTCTAACTAAATACTTTTAAATAAACTTTAGAAAGTATTGCAAATAACTTTGTGTTATTAATTATAAAATAAAACTATTAAAAAGCTGATAGCGCAAACAATATATAAATATATAAAATTTAATCTAGAATTGCTTTGATGAAGAAAGAAAGACATACAAAAGTAATTTTTTTAATATATAAAAATAAAGTTAAATAACTCAATTTGTTTTCATTTAATACTTTTTCAGATTTCTGATGGTGTTCACATGTCTCGCATTGAGCGTGTTTTCCACCATCAAGGAATACGAGGAGGATGCTGTATATATATTGTTTCGCATGGAAATCATAGTTGTCATCTGGTTTACCATGGAGTTTGGGGCGCGACTCTGGTCATCAGGATGCCGCTCCAGATACCAAGGCACACTTGGGCGACTTAAATTTATAAAGCAACCATTTTGTATTATAGGTGAGACAAGGCTTTCAAGTGCAAACGGATATCATAGATGCACAACCATATTAATTGGCTGTCTCCGCAGATATTATCACCATTTTAGCCTCAATTGTAGTATTAGGCATGGGCACCTCTGGCCAGGTGTTTGCGACGAGCGCATTGCGTGGTTTAAGATTCTTTCAGATACTGCGCATGGTGCGCATGGATCGACGTGGGGGAACCTGGAAACTGCTCGGTTCGGTTGTATACGCACATAGACAGGTTGGCAATTTGATTGAGAGGTGTTTCGAGGAATTAGCTTGCAACTGACATTTGCTCATCTCTTGTAGGAGCTCATCACAACCATGTACATTGGATTTTTAGGTCTCATCTTTGCATCATTCCTAGTTTATATGTGGGAGAAGGACGTCAACGACAAGTTCAGCAATTTCGCCCAGGCGCTGTGGTGGGGCGTGGTATGTTGCCAACCAGAAAACATAAAAAAAAAAGAAGAAAAATATACAGCTGAAAGCCAACCGTGTTTCATCTCAATTATTTAACTTTGACCCAGATAACGCTGTGCACCGTTGGCTATGGAGATATGGTGCCCATAACGTGGCAGGGAAAATTGATTGCTTCCTGCTGTGCTCTGTTGGGCATTTCCTTTTTTGCGCTACCTGCGGTAAGTTGCTCGTTTATTTATGCAACATCTGCAATTCGGTATTCATCTCTGGCTCATTGCAGGGCATTTTGGGCAGCGGCTTTGCGTTGAAGGTGCAGCAGCAGCAGCGCCAGAAGCACATGATACGGCGTCGCCAGCCGGCGGCGACGCTCATTCAGGCCGTCTGGCGCTGCTATGCGGCCGATGAGCATTCCGTTTCGATAGCCACCTGGAAGATACATCAGGTGGCGCTGCCGAGTCCGCCCGCATCGTAAGTAGCCAACTACTGTGTCTCCATTGGGGGCAATCCATTGATTGCCTCACACGTATACAAAATACATTCCGGGAATGTGCAGCGGACAATGAGTTGCCAAGTGTCCTAACACTAGTTAAATAAATTGCAATTATGGGGATGAAATGAAATAACTCTCAGTTCAACTTAATATGCTCCCGCAAACATATCTTTGCCTTGGAAAATATTTCAGAAATAGTTTTGTTAGTTTGAATTCTGATTTATTATATATTCATTTTAATTATTTATTTTTCAACTAATTTGCATAAAACTTTAAATATTAATTGAGCCACTTAGCAGACGAAGCTTAATGATTTCACTTACTTTAAATGTTTTCTTACTACAATTTGTTCACTTAAAATCTTTAAAAAGAAAATAATTGTAGTATTATTTGTGATATTTGTGATATTTCCATTTCTGATAATTATCAAATTTTTTGAATTATTTTGGGACTTATTCGGTTAGTTAATTGGGAGTGATTTCATGCAGTCCAATTGTACAGATACACCCACAACCACACTCTCACATTCAACACAACACACAAGAACACAATCAACTGTTTAATAGAGTGTGTCATAGACGAGTATCCTTTGTGAATTCCTGCCAAAGGAGTTCACAAAACTACAACGAGTACCTCGACCAACGAGTTAGTCTGTACAATACACATCCAACGCCAATGCCAATGCCCAACGCATGAGTAGTTTGTACATACAAATGTATGTGTGTACAACCAATACAACAAAACTGTATATGAAAAATATTTCCTCACATAAGCCACAACAAAAAAAAAAAAAAAAAAAACCAGAACAACCCAAAAAAAAAAAAAAAAAAAAGAAGAAATATCCTCTCCGTCTCTTGATTAACAATTTCAGTTTCAGCGTACCTAATTTGTTGAACATTTTTTACGTACCTCTATCATTTTCTTTCATAATATTTTTTATATAAACTTTTCAGTTCTGAAAACTGGGAGCGATTATTAAAAAACATAACCGAATATAGGTAAAAGTGATAAAAGCAACAAAATACTCACAACAAATATTACAATAAATCAAAAAAAAAAAAAAAAAAAAATCAAGCAAAATGATTTCAAATGCTATTCATGTTTTGTTTTCATAGGGTATTTGCTTAGCAAGCACCAAGCCATAAAACATCAAAATGCATCAAATGCTCCTCTAAGTACATATCAAAAGAAATCCCCACACACACCAATCGAGTTTGTAATTCGCAGCTTCTCTATATAACGCACCCTATCTGACTATCTCTGTCTACATACTACTATCTTTCTCACTGTCCTATATCGTAATCCGTAATCTTTATTATCGAACCCACTCTGTTGGCTATTTTCGAAAATATTTGATAATTATTGAGAAAAAGCGTTAAAAACGAACAAACAAAATTGTAAAACCTATGTTAAATTCTGTTTTGCAATTGTTTAATTTATATTCTCAACAATGATATAAGTAAATTAATCAATGTGATACAAATTGATTTTCATTGTGCTGCTGCTGTGTGATCAAAAAAAAAAATGAAAATGAAAATAAAACCAAAACAAAACAAAACAAACACACACACACGTAAATGCATAAAATGTGTACTTTAATTAACATGTGAGTTCAATCAACCAATTTAAATGATTTTTTATCCCCATTTTTTTCTCTTACTCACTCACCTTCTCTCTCTCTCTCTCTCTGTTTTTATCTCTTTTTTTCCCAATATTTACAACATGTATTCGCACATTTTTTGTATTCACTAATTTGGCACAAATATTTGTACACCATCTTTGGAGCAATTGCACATTTATTATCCATGCTACTTTGATTGCATTTAAGTGTATTTTAACTCGCAATGACATCAGCTGAAATTACGATCCATAAACTCTTTAACTGTGCTGTATTTCCGTGTGCGTTTTTTCGATTTACAGCTTTAAAGCACATCTGGCAGTTTGGACTTATTTGGCATCTTAACAGCTGATTAATCAACATTTTCTTATTTATATTCAGGAAGAGATTATTTCATTAAGAGAGTACATAAAATTACCCTCTGGGATTAAATTCTAACATCTTTTTTAAAGGTATTGAACTCTAACTCCTTTTAACTTCTTTTAGAGATGGGACGCATTATCTCAGCAAATTCAAAAATTAATCTTTAGTTTTAATCATCTTTACAAAACATATAACTTATTTACAAGCTTTCAAAATAATTTTAAAAATCAACCGGAAATCATTATAAGCAAAATATTGCAAATTTTATCGAATTTCACAACAAAATTGCAAAACTAAAGTCGCGAATGAGTTGGAAAATGTGTAGAATCGCTTTCAGCTGGTGTCATTGAAGCTTGCCACGCACCTATCTACGAGTGAATTGTCCCTCAAAGAACACACAACTTCAGCTCTGCACCAAATGCACACTCTCACAAGCACACACAAGCACACACAGGCACACACAGGCACACACAAGCACACACAGGCACACACACACAAGCACACACACACACACACATCCAGTATCCAGCTTACACACTGATATACACACACACACACAAACAAATACACCATATGCAACTATCTTCGAGCTCTTTGTACTTCGCTCAAATTTATTCCGTTTACTGAAATCCCCCACTCTCTACTCTATTCTACTCTACTCTATCTTTTCGAGTTCTTTACTAATTTTTATAAATATAATTGTGTACATATTGTATTCCATAGACGGGCCTCATCCAGTTTTAAGCATAACACATCCTTTGTGGCCCGCCTGCCGACGATTAGGCGGCACAAGAGCCAGACCATCCAGACGCCCGGACCCGATGGTTCCACAATGTCCAAGCCGCCGGGCTCATCGAGGGCATCGACGCGCTATTCGCGCACCATTCGAGATATCAACGCATCTGTGGAGAACTTGGGTAAGTTCCTTAACAAATTGCTTTCAAGCCATTTGGCATTCGGTGATGGTGATGAGGATGATGATGATGATGATGATGATGATGATAATGATAATGGTGATGATGGCTGAGTTCTGTTTCAAGATTGCCTTCACAGTTGTTATAAAGTTCCAATAAAGTTCCACTTATTACGAATTCTGTTTGCACACAAACACACACACATTTAACCACATGCACCATCACTTACGAAAAAAACAAAGAAAAAATTTAAAATAATAACATAAAACAAATAACAAGTTATCGTTTTCTATTTGTCTTGGTCCCTTGCATGTTTTACTCGTACCCACAATCTGTGTAAATCTCATTCAATGTCAACTTGGCTCACATCAATGAGCAAAACTCACAACAGATTTTGCTTTGCTATTTGCGCTGCGCATCTCATCAGAAAAACAGTCAAAATCAAAGGCTATTTTTACTGCAGGCATTTTCATTTTTAGGGACAGATTTCTATGCTTTGCCAAAAATTCCAATACATAAAAGTTTGATTAGTTTAAATTTCGTAGCTTTTCTTACCATTCACCTAATATTATAAAAATGTTCTACAACTTTTGGGCTCATGTTCACACTTTTACATATGTTCTTCAAATATTGCATTTATTTGTTGTTTTAATGTTCAAATACCTGATTGCCTTTACCATAGTTCATATACAAATTTGAAGACATCATCCAGCACTGCATTTAAATAACGCCTGATATCACTTTAGTAGTCAAACATCTGGCTTAAGTTCAACACAAAATAATAAATTTCACTTTATGAGAAAATATTTCAATTAATCAGCCAATAATAAAACAATAAAACCGTTGGCATAGGAAACTAATTGAAGTCCCGCAGCTTTATTAGAATATTGAAACAAACAAATTGCGAATTCAGCGGAGAAGCGACAAGTAAAATGTGAAAATGTAGCTAAACGGAAATTTAATAAAATATTTGTTAGATATACTTAATAGAAATACTTAAACTAACACAGCTATGTAGACGAACGTGGAATATAAAATTAAATACCTTTACAAGAAAATATTTAATATCAGAAAGCAGTAGATAAACGCGGAGGGAAACTAAATTATTCTTGAAGAGGAAAAGAGCCAGGATGCCATACTGTATATATAAGAAAATAATTGGTACTCAAATGCATACTAAATAATTCTTAAAGAGGAAAAAAAAGAAAGCATGAAGTCTTCTGTCACCCGAACTGCATGCCATATTCATGTACCATAAATTCATCAAATTCTTTATTCATATAATACCTTCTCCTAATACTATATCTAGAAACCTTTTCTTTTGTATTTTTCCTGAATATTTATTTCACTATGCACTTATTAAATAAATCCAAAGATATTAAGCGTTTGCCTAAGCAACAGATTTAAAATCATTTTTATAACTGAATTAATTTAAAAAAAAATTAAAAAGTTAACATGACCAATTTATAACTGTTTGTGTGCGTAGATTTGAAATTCTTTGTAAGTGTGTATTCTGACCAATATAGACTACCGTGTCTCTGCATTTAGTTAGTAATTGACTCATTGGCACACATGCAAAATTATTAAAAAAAAAAACAAAAAAAAAAAACAAAAACAAAAATGAAAACACAAAAACAACTTTAACATCTGGTTTGAAATTTTCAGAGGTAGTACAAAATGGCAAATCCATGAATCCAAGTTTTAGCGAAGATTCAGTTGCTGAAACAACTTGCTTAAAAAATATTAAAAATTCAGACGGTAAGTCTACAAGGTCCCGCCCAGGTTCCATATACCAATACACCTTATAATCAAAAAAAAAAAAACAAAATTGAGATTCTTATAAATTATATAACCGTATTTTGAGTGTTGTGGTTGTGTCAATGTTGTGGTTGCATTTTTTAAATTAAATTGAATTGATGTTGTTCATAATTGGTTCTTGCAAAGAAAAACAAAAAAAAAAATGTTAACGAAAAAGTAAATTAAACCAAAAACCTGCTAAGGATGATGATGTATGGTTGCCTTAAGGGATTATCAAGCCGAGACTAATGCGCTTTCTCACCAAAAAAAAATAAATAAATTAAACACAAAAACACACAAATGCACATACAGCAAGTCCAACGCCGTCCCCCAACAAACTGGCCAATAGCATTCATAGCGCCAGTTTGGGCACACTGGGCCAGACCCAGAAGCCAGAAGTTGCTACTGCTGCTGCTGATGCCGCAAGGCCGAAGGTCGAGGCTAGTTCCAATACGCTGACCATACCCGTTGTGCTCTGCGGCTTTTTGCAAGGTGACTTTTTTGGGTCGACATTTTCGCTGCGCAATCCGCGCATTACGCCCGCAAAGGACTTGGAGGCGGGTCATGTGGAGCAGCATGAGCCGGAGGCCGAGTCGCAAGTTGAGGGCAATCTGAATCCTAGTCCCAGTCCAGGCCGTGGACGCACGGGTCGCTTCTTTGCGGCTGCCTCACATTTTCTGGAGACGGGCACATTGCAGGGCAACAGTGGCGCATTCTATGTGGCAAGTGCGTACAACTTGCAACTGCCAACTGGCAACTTGCAGCTAGAGTTGAATAAGCCTACCCAGCCCCAGCTCTGAGAAAGTGTTTATCCTTGTGCTAGGTTTGGTTTAGCATGCGCTCTCTAGACTGTCGTAGAGTTAGTTAAGTTTGCATTTTGGTAGACACTGTAGACACTGTACTAACTTCGTATCATATATAGGGAGTTATACCTGTAAAGGACTCCGAACGACTAATACTAACTAACTAAGTAACTACTCACCTACGCTACATGGCCACACACACAACGCTTGCTTACTCAATGCTTTCTCAACTATGCTTTTCCACTATCCACTATCCCACTATCCAACTAACAATTATTATATTGTGATTTGATAAATATATATATATATATTCTTTACATATATATGTAACTAACCTAATATCTGTATACTTATTGTACGATCTATATATTACTACCTTATATGCATATAACTACAAATGTATGTACGTGTGTGTATAACGCTACTTGTATGTGTTAATTGTGTGTTGTTGGATTGACTTGATTAATGTACAAAACAAATTGCCGCTAAACCACGCGCGAAGCAAGCAACCAAAACCTAACGCACAAGTCAATCTCTCTGATTCACAAATTGCCCGCAGATGAGGATGAGGAGCCGCGTTGCACGCAGCTGACAAATCGGCATAAGATCGCCATACGCTTCATACGCAAGGTATGTCATTAAAATCCACTTTAATATATCAAATATATATCACTCTACTATATAACTGATGGTTGCAGCTCAAGTATTTTGTGGCACGTCGCAAGTTTAAGGAGGCATTGAAGCCGTACGATGTCAAGGACGTCATGGAACAGTATGCGGCTGGTTAGCTTAAACCAAACTCTTCAAATTATTTTCGAAAACCGTTTGCATCTCAATCTATTCATTTACAGGTCACGTGGACTTACTGGGGCGCGTCAAAATGCTGCACTTGCGGTAAGTACTAATATTGGATGCATAGATCTATAATATATATCTATATATATAGACAGGTAGAGCAGTCCTTGTCGTCTTAGAGTGCATTCCTGTTACAGTTCCCTACCCTAACGGCAATCGTAGATTTTTCTAGAACAAATACTTTTAAATTCTAGCGTATTTGTACATCTATATACAGATTTCTTAAATCGTTTTCGTTTCTTATATATTTGAATTATTATAATTGAAGTCGAACTATCAATTTTTTGGCATTATTGTTTGTGAATTCCGAAAGAATTTTTTAATTTCTATTTCATATAAAAGAAAATAATTCTCAGAAGTAGAAAAGTATTTATAGTTTTAATAAATTGTTTTCGTATACTTATAAATTATATCTAAGATCAAGTGATTTTCTTTTTAGGCACATTTTCAAAATGTTATGCCAATTTTTTTCTGTGTAGTGTAGTTACTTAGAGAATTTGGTTATCTTTAATTTATGAACAGCTAAAAACTTGGATGTAGAGCAAGGTAAACTCTTAGTTATAAATAAACATACATGAGGTATATGCATCTGGATAATTATGTTTATAAGGGAAATATACCTCTAAGAAATTAAGCTTAAACAATTTAAAAATCATAGCAATAAAAATTCACTCAGCAGAAATTGGAATAAAAAAGAAGCCGTAGATATTATGAGGGATATTCTAGATCTTATGGAATGCTCTTCGAGTCAAAAAACTATATGAACATAAAATACCATTTGTGATCTGTTCTTTTCTATCCACAGTCTAGATCAAATACTGGGCAAACAGGGTTCCAAGGCAAAGGATGTCTATGCATCAAAGATCAGCTTAGCCTCGCGTGTGGTTAAAGTCGAGCGACAAGTGAGATTCGAGTAAATTACGAGCATATTAGTTCCCTCAACATTTTGTACAATTTCAGGTGGTGGATATTGAGGAGAAACTTGATATCCTGATCAAGGCCTATATGGAGGATCGTGATAGATTCTTAGCGCTTCCGTTGCCCGCAAATCCGAAACCCAAAATACATTCCATTAGCCCTAGTCACAGTCATAATCTCCATCACACACAACATCAAAATATGATCGATGTGTGGAAGCGAACGGCAACACTTAGCGTACATCCCGAGCTAGTGACGACCCCAACTGAAGCAGCGGAAGCTGCCTCCACGGATCGTCTGGACAGCAGCGAGACGGCGCTAACCTCGACGCAGACGCTCACAACAACAACAGATGCGATTGGCACACAAACAACCATGCCACACACGCAGCATACAGCGACCAATACAAAGGTATTTAAATAGTAACAAACAGCTCATAAGAATCAGATTATATATAATATGTGTAATATATGTAATATAGTCTTCCGTGCTTAACTCATATCAGCTAACGCCTGAGAAGCAACAGCACAATGATGTATTTATGACTGATTTAGAGAATAGAACTAAGAAACGAGTTACTTTAAGGTAAGTTCAAAATCAAAATCAACAACACTTTCTCTTCGGCCCGCCGAAGAATAAATGCCCTTGCAGACAAAACTAGAATATATATTATTCGATTATATTTGATTGATGATTTGATTGTTTATATATTGGTCATGATATCTTAAATACTTTCAAAGAACTGTTTCAATAACGGTTGTATGTAATTGAAAATCGCTTGAAATAAGTTGTAATAAGCTTTCCAATATTTTGCAATTACTCAATTCTTTTTCTTATCAAAATAAATTAAAAACATATTTCAATCTTTCCAATTAACTCCTGCAGCTGAAGCAGTCATCTATGCCAAGTTTCACAACAATAATCTATTTTACATATAAATTTTATTAGTAATTTACAGAAGTCATTTTATAACGCTCTGAATTGATAATAGTGCTATTTTTTGTCAGCTCTGTACACTCAGAAAAAAATCGGCCTTAATTTTAGAAAATCACCCCAAAATCAAGCTCGCCTTGACAACTTGAAGATTATTCTTGCTTTTAGAAATAATTTCAAAATATATGATAAAAAATTTCTTAAAATTGGAAAGGTTTTTTCTCTTTTCAGAAATAGTTTCTATTATTAAGAAATATATTTCTAGAGCGGGTATAAAAGGTAGGAATGCAAAACACTTTTTGTTTTTTAAAGTATTCTTTCTAAAAAATCGGGAAAATATATAAAACTGTCTATCTACGCTATATAAAATATTAGTTTCGCAAACGAAGGGTAAGTTTTTTTTGAACTTATAAACTATCTAAACTGTTTTATTTAAAATAACATAAATAACAAAAAAACGATTGTACAAATGCTTAATTATAAGATGAGCTGCCAAAATGTGGCGATTGTATAAAGTTCAGGTCGATTTTCATTCTGAGGTTATATGTACATATTTATATTGTTTGTAATAAGCCTCTGCAAGCGTATAAATCCACACATGAATGTATATATATAACATATCTCAAATGTAGATATTTATATTGAACAGCCTGCATAGATCCACATCGGAGCCATATAGCAAACACGAGCAACGCATCAATATGCCAGATGAGGGCGCACAATCCTTGGATTCGAGTGCCAAGCCAACGCCGCCAGATAGTTCAAGTAAGCCAGGCCGTGCCTGAACTTCGAACAATAATCCCGCACCACACCAAAGAATCATTTTTTTTCTTTTATCTACCCAAATAAAGAACATCTCACCAAATTAAAAACTTTTCATTTTTCAATACTCAACGCAGATTGGAGTTCTACTCCGGAATTGTCAATAAATGATATTTACTATTTTATATATGTTTATGTGTATATGTATTGCGTACAGTTATACTAATTGATGAGTATGAGGATTTCGAGGAGGAGGATCTGAACTGTGAGGGTGAAATGGATCATTTCCCGACTTGGGAAATTGACAGCGACATTGGCGCCGATGTGGATGTCGATGCGGATGGTGACTGTGATGAGTCCACTGAGGACACGGCGCTATTGCATTGCACCACGCGCACCGCCATTGTTATAACACCAATTAGCCCAGTGAGTACAAATCCGAACCTAATCTCAATCATCATTACATATATAAAATTGATTTTATTTGCAGGTGAGCTCCGCACACAATCTTCAAAGTTTAAATGACCAAACTACAACGCTTAATAAATCAAATTTGCTTCCGCCAGATTCTGGCTAGTTAAATGCAATTGAAATTAGTCGATATGTAATATCTCTATACTTAAACTAATTATAAGATGAGAAGAGCTGCTCGACCCGCAGTTACTCTGTACCAAGTTCTAGAGTATCATAAATCAAATCAAATCAAATCAAATCACTACATTCACAATCGAACATTTTTTATTTTATTTGTTCAATAGAAATTTTAATGACCAAACTGCAAAACGCTTAATAAATCAAATTTGCTGCCGATAATATTATACGTATAGGACTCACAGATACCCTGTAAATTAAGTTTTAACCGCAACGTAGCTTTAACACATCTTCAATTGATAAACAAATAATTCTATTATTTTTTTTTTTGTAAAATTTCGAAGCTGAGCTGTGTAGGGCATAGAAGTGTCTGCTAAACAAATTTAATAACGTTATAATTACTGAGATTCAAGTGTTCAAAGCGACGATCGGATAGCGACTTATCATTAGACCCCGAACTAATTCCTGAAACAAATTATGATAAGTGACTATATATATATATATATATATGAATATATGTGCAAGTCGAATGAAAGATGAATGATGTGCATGATGAAGAACCAAATGTTAAATGAGCTCATGAATGACAAGTGCGAATGATATGAATGTAGAGACAAATAGTGAAAGTGATTGAAAGTCAGTTGAAATACGGCAAGAAATTTAGTTATATTATATTATAATACATACATACATTATGTATGTCTATCTACTGACATATTTTGTGTTCAAAATAATGAGTAGCAACTACTTAAATCAGTTGAAATCAAATGATTAATAACAGCTTTAGCGAATACAAATAAAAGCAACAATCAAATAATGCAATCGTTCTTAGTTCTTAGTTCAACACGATTAACTTTGCTTTCTATTGGGTTTTTTTGTTGTTGTCGGCGCTTTTGATATCCTGAAACTTCCTAAACGTTTCCGAGCCTGTCATGCTTGCGTTGTCATTGGCTTTGGTTTCTTTTTTGGTGGCTGCTTTGCTATTGCATTGATCTCTTGAAGCTCTTCGAAGATTTCCGAGTCAGTCAGACTCTCGTTGTCGTCGTCGGCATCAGCTGCATCGCCAATGAGTTCAATCTCAGTGTTCGCAATGATGCGAATTAACCGTTCCTTCGATGTAGACGGACCTTCGCTTGCCGAATCCACCATAGCTGGCTCCTCCTCCTCCTCCTCCACATCCTCCACCTCCTCGTCTTCGTTTTCCTCCGATTTGGTTGCGTCATCGGTCGGAAAGAGGCAGCTGTTATGCGCCTTTCGTACATGCACATTGAGGCGTGTCGGCGAGCCAAATGATTTGCCACAACCGCCATCGAAGAAGTCACGACATGTATATTTGGAGCCATGCACACGTAGAATATGATTCGATACTCCCTGGCGACGTCCAAAGCGCTTCTCACAGAACTTACACTTGAAGGCAAAACGCTTGTAGTGCTGGCCCAGCACATGAACCGACAGCGATTTCTTGTTCCTCGTGGTGAAGTTGCACTGTTCGCATTTAAACGATTGAGAATGCAGCTGTGGATAAATAGATAAGGGTTAATCAATCATTTCACAACAAAACTATATACTATGCACTCACCCGCTGATGCGCCTCCATTTCGCTCTTGTGATAGAAACCCTTTTCGCATTCACTGCACGAATAACGCTTATTGTTTGAGTGCACCACCTTGATGTGGGTGTCGTAGTTGCGACGATTCTTCACCACCTTCAAGCACATCGGACACTCGATGCGCTCGTGCCAATAGGCGTGATGCTTCTTTAGCGCCTCCTCATCCTTATACGAAGCCTTGCAGAGCGAGCAGACCACATTATCTGCAAAGAGTGGAGCTCTAAAACGGATTCTAATATTTAATCCATTTATGCTAGCAACTCACTGTTGTTGTGACTGCGCGCCACGTGAACCGAGAGCGACATTTTGGAGCGACAGACTTTCTGACAGAATTGACAGATCCATTCGTTATCCTTCGTCTTGGGGTCCTGCTTCTCGACGGCATCGTGTGTGCGCCGCTTGTGTGTGTATAGCGAATTCCAATTAATGTAGGCCTCACTGCAATTCTGCTGGCAGGATTCAAAATTAGTAATGCTTGCTAAATACATATCTATATCTTCACCTCATAATCGCACATATAGTAGAGACAAATTTCTAGACGGCGATGCGAAAAATCTGTGCGCAATTGTTGATAGTTGCGCAAATGGTGACGATAGAGCTTCATATCGGTAAACTTCTTGCCGCACGGATGACACCAGAAGTGGCCATCCTTGTGCACACCCGATTCGCGATGGGCGCTTAAATCACTCTTCTGCTTAAAGTAGGCGGAGCAAAACTCACAGACATAAGCATCACGCATCACTTCCACTACCACATCTATGCCAAAGCAAACCGAATCCTCTTCCGCAACATGAGCCTGCAACAATAAATACGTTAAAATCGCTATAGATTGTTACTGTTAGTTGGTTAGTTGCTCGGCTTACCAGCATCCTGTCATTATTTTCACTGAGCAGACCACAATTGTTGCACACATGCACCTCGCGCTCAATAATCAGATGCGTTTTCATGTGCAGGTTGTATGTGGCCTCCGTGGCAAACTCGCGGCCGCACATTTCGCAGCTGATGACGCTGCCATGTGCGGTGCGCTGCAAGAGCAACAAATTTTACTTTTAATTTTGTATATATAAAGACTTAATTCTCAGCAGATAAATATTTGGATAGTCTTATGGCAATCTTAAAAAAGTTACACGGCTAATATCGACCCAAAAGATGTGTTAACACTAACCAGGTGTCCATTGAGACGACCGCGAGACTCAAAATTGGCGCTGCATTCGGTGCAGCTGTAGGTGGTGCTGCTGACATTCGAGTGTGATTTGTTGTGCTCCAAAAAGACGGCAGGATCCCGAAAATTGCGATCACAGCTGCGAGAGCAGAAAGAGAAGTGAATTACATTTGAGGGGGGAAGGGGAGGTAAGCTAATTAATCGCAACACACTCACAGGTCACAGAAGAGCGTGCCCTCTGGCTCGTGAGCGTAGTGCAAATGATGGAAGAGCTCATCGATGTTGGTGTCCGCGTAGCTGCACACAAAACAGGCGCGAGGCCTGTGACGCTCCAAATGAAATTGATTGTGAAAATTAAAGCTGCATAACGAAATCAAAATTCGAATTAGCTGCGATAAAAACTATAGAGTTGCTAGCAAAAACTTGCCGCTTCCAGGAGGGGAACTCCAAGCCGCACATCTCACAATACAGGCGGATGCCGCGTCGCTTTTTGATGACATGCGCGCAGGAGTGCTTATTGTACTGCAATATGTTTGAGAAGGTCATGTTGCATTCGGGACAACTGCCATATATGGATATACTAAATGGAAAGATTATGAATCAATTATTTGGCTTAAATCTCAAGAGTTCTGTGTAGCTTACTCGGCTACCGGCGCATGCAGCACAACCAGGTGCATGGCCAAGGATTTGGCTCCCTGCAGCTCGGACGCGCAGTCAGCAATCGGGCACTTGTAAATATCGTCCGGCTCCTTGTGACTCTTCAGCATGTGATCGAACAAGCTTTCATATTTGCTGCACTTCAGCGAGCAGTGGCGGCACACAGTGTCCCAGTCAAAGATCAAAGTCTCAAAACAGGTCTTCACCACGGTTCCCAAATACTCGTACAGATCGCCAATGTTATCAGCTGTGTGGGATTCAATTCGATTGGGTTCATTAAATTGGTGTGTGAAATACTTTTGTTGGGCATACATACATTCCTTGATCAGCACAAAATTGAAGGGCTCCACTTTGAATGCTTCATCCTCGCTTTGGCTCTCATTTTGTGACTGCGACGAGACGCTTTTAATTTTTCGCTCCAATTTGAAATGACGCACGCTCAATTCCGAGGAGCTGTCTGTAAGGATTCGAGCAACCATCAAATACATTGAGTACATAAGCATATATGCAATTAGTAACCTTCACGCTCAACCAGAAACTCCAGCTCATCATTATTGTCCTGGTCCTCGAGCACCGTTTGCTCCTCTTCCACCGCCTCCTCCAGCTGCTGTTCCTCTTCCGCTGATTGTTTCTCCAACTGACGGACTGTGGCAGCTGCTTCTACCAATTTTTCATCCGCTGGCGACTCCTCATCCTCTAGAATGTCACGTATGAGTGCGCTAATTTGCTCCTGATCGCCTGATCCTTGTGCAGCTTCTCTAGATCGACTCCGTTTGACGTCAGCTTTGTCATTAAGTGTTCCACTTCGCTTGACTGCTTCCTTCATATTTATGGGCAATCTTTTTTGCGGAGCATTCCTGGCTCTGGTGATGCGTATGCCGACAGCTTCAGGCGCTCCTTTTGTAGTATGATCAGGAGCAGTAGCAGTCGTAGCAATCACAGCAGCAGTCGCCGCCGGCTTCTCTTGCTTTGTGGCTGCATTCGCCGAGGTGTTTGGTGAACCTTGGGCATTTTTGCCGGCAGCTGTCTGCTTTTTCGCGGGACTCTCATCCTTTTTGGGATCAGAAGACTTTGTATCATTACTGGGCTTTTTATTTGCACCATTTGCAGCATCTTGCTCCCTTTGCAGTTCGTCGATGTCAAAGAAACGAATTAGCGTATTAACGCACTCCTCGCAGAGCAGTTGCTTCTGTTTTTGGCCGGCGGGCTCAACTTTTATCTCGAAATACCTGTCGAGCAGTTTGGCCAGCTCTATTTCGATGCCGACTTCGTCGAATATCTCATGATATTTTTGTTTCGAATTGTACACTCTGCAATGCAGGCAGCTAGGCACATTTTCGTCAGTTTTTACATTTTCCGACATTTTAACTTCTTACACGTAGCATCAGCTGAACGATATGACATGGTCAGTAATGGCAAGCACAAGCAATACCTATCGCGAAAGTACTCGATACTATCGTTTGCAAAATCAGAAACGCGGTATTATTTAGTACTTATTTATTTCAAACAATCAAGAACTGGTGAAACAACAGTGCTAGAAAATATCTAAGCTATCGTTTATCGATCATCGATAGGCGTTGCAGTCAGTGCGTGTCGGGCGTGCTGAAGCCAAGTACGTATGTTGTCTATTGGCGCCAAATTTAACTGTTGACCCGCTTGAGCAGCGCAAAATAGCTGTAGGAGCAGTTCACAATCTGTAAAGTAAAATGAGTCCTTATGAATATGAATCCTTAATAGTTACACACTCATCATACAGATGCAAAGGTCAGGGAATTAAAGCTCTGTGTGTGGTCTAAGGTGTGCACCTCCAGCGGCTTACTTAGGCGCAACATCATTAAGAGACACATCTTGCGATTGGTCCTGTTCCAGGTGGTCCACTCCGAGCTGTACAGCGCATGGGAGAGTAGTGCGCTTTGACCGCTCATCTCGTCAGCTGCATAGCATATTATGAAGATTTGCATGAGCATGACAAACTGATACGAGCCCAACATTATCATGAATGCCGTTTCGCTCGTCCGAATGGAAAGGGCATAGAAATTCGAGACGAGCACCAGCACCGAGCAGAGCATCTGCACCGAACCAGGTACCCTGATAAGATTAACTACCATCTCCTTCAGCTTCACAATGTTCCCATAATACAGGCAGCAATCACGCAACTCCATCGCAACGCCCACGTTATCCGGCGGGGTCTTAGCGGCGCCCAAGCTCTGCAGACGAGCGGACAACATGGCCACCTGCGTCTCCAGGAAGAAGAGCAGTGAGCCGCACACCGAATCGAAGGAGATGTTTAGCCAACAGGATGGCATCAGCGACAGCACCTGATACAAATAGAAGCCGTAGTAGCAGCTGTCCCTAGCCAGATTGCACGGCTCGTACATGGACAGAGGCAGGGCGCTGCTGTCCACAAACCACTGCGTGACTAGTATTAAAGAAGCTGCCAGCAACGAAGTAAAGGCATATATATTTCGCCACTTGACCGAATGAGCAGCGCCGCGCATATAAATCTGGTATTCCCTGGAAGATATCGGCTGAAAGGCAGTGGAATGCATCAGCGTTAGGATCCTGGCATGGTTGGCAGATTTCAGCTTAATGCTTAGCAGCTTGGTCATGCAGAACAGCTCAGTGGCGAACATGAAGAACACCTCAAGTATAACGCTTATCTGATCAATATTGGCCAGCACGTGTATTGCGAAGAACAACAGCATTATGGACACAATCACAAAGATGAGTCCACAGCGCAGTGCATGCCACACACGTTGCTGCCTAGTGGCGTAATCCTGCAAGCTCCACACGCCCAACAACTTGAGATACCACACTTGATACTTGTAAAAACTGGCTGTAAGCTCCTCATAAGTCGATTGACCCATGATTATATTTCTACTAACAAAACTGAACTGCTCTGTCAACAACACGATTCAGGTGCTTTTATAGAGGACCCCAGGCCACGGACATGGCATATGGCATATAATTAGCTGTAATGAGCCGCTCATTGTGGAATATTTAACTAATATCTACAGTGCACAAAATGCAGTCAACTCACCGAAGTGAATAGCGCCAAGTCAAAACCAAGGCTGGCATCCAGGGTCCTGATCCGTATGGGTATATCCAGACGTTGCATTAGCATCAGCAGCAGGCGTCGATTGCTGCGCTGCCAGTGCACCCAATTGGACTTATACAGACCATGGGACAGTTTCAAGCTGCGCTGTGCGACCTCTCTATTATGGTTTTTAGTTATGTAGATATTTGGCTTATATAGTCCTTTTCTTTGTAGACAGACTTACCCCGGAAAGTAACATAATACGAAGACCTGCGTCAGCATGCAACTTTGGTAAATGAAGAATTTTAGGAATATCAATTTCTCATCTGAAAGCTGTAAGTAATTAAAAAAACAAATCAAATTCTATCGGATAATTGAAAGATTTAAATTAGTCACAAATATTAAAGTCATATTTCTAGTTCTTAATTCCTTTGCAAATAATTATAATCAATAAAAGGTATATTTTAAGTAAAAAAGTAAAATCCACTTTAATCTTTCTGAACTCACCAGTGAAATGGCATAAAAGCCAGATGTAAGAACCAGCACGGAGAACATTATTTGTATTGACATAGGCAGATAGAGCACAGCCTCAATATCCGCAGCCAGTTCTACAATCTTCATATGCAAACGGATGCAGTTCTTCAGCTGATGCTCCACTTCTTCCACACTTTCCTCAACACCGTTGCAATTGTGTCCGATGCTTTGCAGTCGCAATGCCAAAATATCCAGTTGGCATCTCACGAAAATGAACAGGGAGCAGCATAGCGAATCGAAGGATATATTGAAGAAGCAGGCCATGGACATGGCAACACATTGATAGAAGTACATAATCCAGTAGCCCAAGGAGCCGTGAGCACCGTCAAAGGGATCATATGTCGACACAGGCAGCTCAGTATTATCGATTATATATTGGGTTATCTGCACAGTAACTAAAGACATCACAGATATAACCCCATACCGGTTGCGTACAACCCGACTCAGCTCACGGGCAACTACAAAGATGCGCTGCTCCTCAGCACTCTTGGAACAAAATTGCGCATCTTGAAGATTAGCAATGATTTGAAGAAAACTAACATCGTTGAACTTGACGTGTACGACCTGCACGCAGAAAGATGTATCAATTGTATTAATTTGTGAATCCTAATGAAGATTTGAACCTTCCTTCACAGTGTATGCAATACATGTATGTTCAGATATAAATAAATAAATATTGCATTTTCGCAAAGCAATTTTAGTCTTAAATTGTTTGTCCCCTTTCATAAATGAGTATTCAATAATTCAGTAAATTTACCTAAGGGTCCTGGGATTATTATACAACAGAAAGCGATTAGCTTAAGTTGCAAGCACTGCCCAAAAATGTGGACCTAGTTTATAATTGACATTTTAAAAATCGTATATTTTGGATTTTATTTGTGTTTTCAATTTTAAATAATATTTAATAAGTAAATTTTCAAATTTTTTTTACTACTTTTTAAAAATAAATTCTTGATATTTGGTTATCTCATTTTTTTCAATGCCTTTTCTCATTTATTCTCATCTAATAACTTACAGCAATTAAAATACCTAACGAGTTTTTAATCGCTTACGCAAATCGCAAAGAGCAGCCTTAAAAGGCTTGACCAATTTGAAGACCAAATTAGTTTTAGCCGAAGTTTCCAACGTAATGCAGCAGAACTTTGATTGGTCCGTGGAGCTATTCTACAAAGCACAGGAGCGTATCCTTTACTTGTACTCTGTATGGCCGCACGGAGTGGGCTGGGGACGTGTGCTGCATAGGATAAGATTCTGGCTTACGCTTTGCTTCTGGATATTACTGTTCGATTTGATACTCTCAATTTACATTGTGCTCAACATAACCGATTTAAATGAAATAATGAAGGCTTTCTTTCTGCTGGCCACATGTATTGCATACACTGTGAAGGAAGGTTCAAATCTTCATTAGGATTCACAAATTAATACAATTGATACATCTTTCTGCGTGCAGGTCGTACACGTCAAGTTCAACGATGTTAGTTTTCTTCAAATCATTGCTAATCTTCAAGATGCGCAATTTTGTTCCGAGAGTGCTGAGGAGCAGCGCATCTTTGTGGTTGCCCGTGAGCTGAGTCGGGTTGTACGCAACCGGTATGGGGTTATATCTGTGATGTCTTTAGTTACTGTGCAGATAACCCAATATATAATCGATAATACTGAGCTGCCTGTGTCGACATATGATCCCTTTGACGGTGCTCACGGCTCCTTGGGCTACTGGGTTATGTACTTCTATCAATGTGTTGCCATGTCCATGGCCTGCTTCTTCAATATATCCTTCGATTCGCTATGCTGCTCCCTGTTCATTTTCGTGAGATGCCAACTGGATATTTTGGCATTGCGACTGCAAAGCATCGGACACAATTGCAACGGTGTCGAGGAAAGTGTGGAAGAAGTGGAGCATCAGCTGAAGAACTGCATCCGTTTGCATATGAAGATTGTAGAACTGGCTGCGGATATTGAGGCTGTGCTCTATCTGCCTATGTCAATACAAATAATGTTTTCCGTGCTGGTTCTTACATCTGGCTTTTATGCCATTTCACTGGTGAGTTCAGAAAGATTAAATTGGATTTTACTTTTTTACTTAAAATATTCCTTTTATTGATTATAATTATTTGCAAAGGAATTAAGAACTAGAAATATGACTTTAATATTTGTGACTAATTTAAATCTTTCAATTATCCGATAGAATTTGATTTGTTTTTTTAATTACTTACAGCTTTCAGATGAGAAATTGATATTCCTAAAATTCTTCATTTACCAAAGTTGCATGCTCACGCAGGTCTTCGTATTATGTTACTTTCCGGGGTAAGTCTGTCTACAAAGAAATGGACTATATAAGCCAAATATCTACATAACTAAAAACCATAATAGAGAGGTAGCACAGCGCAGCTTGAAACTGTCCCATGATCTGTATAAGTCCAATTGGGTGAACTGGCAGCGCAGCAATCGACGCCTGCTGCTGATGCTAATGCAACGTCTGGATATACCCATACGGATCAGGACCCTGGATGCCAGCCTTGGTTTTGACTTGGCGCTATTCACTTCGGTGAGTTGACTGCATTTTGTGCACTGTAGATATTAGTTAAATATTCCACAATGAGCGGCTCATTACAGCTAATTATATGCCATATGCCATATGCCATGTCCTTGGCCTGGGGTCCTCTATAAAAGCACCTGAATCGTGTTGTTGACAGAGCAGTTCAGTTTTGTTAGTAGAAATATAATCATGAGTCAATCGACTTACGAGGAGCTTACAGCCAGTTTTTACAAGTATCAAGTGTGGTATCTCAAGTTGTTGGGCGTGTGGAGCCTGCAGGATTACGCCACAAGGCAGCAACGTGTGTGGCATGCACTGCGCTGTGGACTCATCTTTGTGATTGTGTCCATAATGCTGTTGTTCTTCGCAATACACGTGCTGGCCAATATTGATCAGATAAGCGTTATACTTGAGGTGTTCTTCATGTTCGCCACTGAGCTGTCCTGCATGACCAAGCTGCTAAGCATTAAGCTGAAATCTGCCAACCATGCCAGGATCCTAACGCTGATGCATTCCACTGCCTTTCAGCCGATATCTTCCAGGGAATACCAGATTTATATGCGCGGCGCTGCTCGTTCGGTCAAGTGGCGAAATATATATGCCTTTACTTCGTTGCTGGCAGCTTCTTTAATACTAGTCACGCAGTGGTTTGTGGACAGCAGCGCCCTGCCTCTGTCCATGTACGAGCCGTGCAATCTGGCTAGGGACAGCTGCTACTACGGCCTCTATTTGTATCAGGTGCTGTCGCTGATGCCATCCTGTTGGCTAAACATCTCCTTCGATTCGGTGTGCGGCTCACTGCTCTTCTTCCTGGAGACGCAGCTGGCCATGTTGTCCGCTCGTCTGCAGAGCTTGGGCGCCGCTGAGACCCCGCCGGATAACGTGAGCGTTGCGATGGAGTTGCGTGATTGCTGCCTGTATTATGGGAACATTGTGAAGCTGAAGGAGATGGTAGTTAATCTTATCAGGGTACCTGGTTCGGTGCAGATGCTCTGCTCGGTGCTGGTGCTCGTCTCGAATTTCTATGCCCTTTCCATTCGGACGAGCGAAACGGCATTCATGATAATGTTGGGATCGTATCAGTTTGTCATGCTCATGCAAATCTTCATAACATGCTATGCAGCTGACGAGATGAGCGGTCAAAGCGCACTACTCTCCCATGCGCTGTACAGCTCGGAGTGGACCACCTGGAACAAGACCAATCGCAAGATGTGTCTCTTAATGATGTTGCGCCTAAGTAAGCCGCTGGAGGTGCACACCTTAGACCACACACAGAGCTTTAATTCCCTGACCTTTGCATCTGTATGACGATTGTGTAACTATTAAGGATTCATATTCATAAAGACTCATTTTACTTTACAGATTGTGAACTGCTCCTACAGCTATTTTGCGCTGCTCAAGCGGGTCAACAGTTAAATTTGGCGCCAATAGACAACATATGTACTTGGCTTCAGCACGCCCGACACGCACTGACTGCAACGCCTATCGATGATCGATAAACGATAGGTTAGATATTTTCTTGCACTGTTGTTATTTGCACTAGTTTGTTGATTGTTTGAAATAAAAAAGCACTAAATAATACTTATGTGGCCGATTATACATAGTATTTTGTCAGGGAGTTCCCTTAATAAATATTTTGATTGAAAACATTCAAAATTGTTAAATTAGATATCAACATTTGTGATGTTGAGTAAATTTTTAGTATATTTTAAGCATGAAATTATTATTATATTTTTTAATAACACTCTGTGTGTTGGGTAAGTATAAGATATGCATATTTACAATTAAAAATAGTATGGGATTTACAGGGGTTCGGAGCGATTGTCGGCTAACTCGGTTCATAGTGGAAAACACAAATCGCATATTTACCTATCGCGATGATAGCGGTTCTTATCAGCTGCTGCGCACAGAGCTCGTGCCCAGCGGGATGAAGCTGTCCATGTTCTGCGATGTCAACAATGTGCTGGAGACACAGTGCCAGGACAATGGCGAGTTTACAGTGGCGCTGCCCATGACCTGTGGATCGCCAATGGAGCCGCATGTTACCAAAAGTAAGGACGCAGCATGCCCCAAAACGTTGTATATTGTGGGCTATGTAATTGAGGGTCAGCAGCTGGAGCTCTATCGCTCCTGCTATGATGAGAATAATGGGCGCGTGTTGTACAGTCAAAGCGATGTCTACTTCAAGACCTTCTGTAAGGCATTAGCTTTATAAATTCCAGTCCTCCAAACCTAAACTAAAAATTGGTAAATAGTTTTCAGGCCGCCTTTTGTGCAATTCACGACGGATGAGATAGTCACCCCCGCAGAGGCAGCTGCTTATTTCAAGCATAATATTTATTCAGCATTTCAAAGAACTTTCGGCGATGCCCAAGAGTATTTGTCGTCGCCGAACGACCTGGTTATCAATCGTGGACATCTTGTTGCCTCCGCTGACTTTCTATTTGTCGACCAGATGTCCAGCACATATCGTTATCTCAATATAGTACCGCAGTTCAAAAGCATCAACGATCAGAACTGGGAGAAAGTTGAGCGCTGGCTCCGCAGTCAGGTGCCAGCCAACAGCCCGTTTCGCATTAAAACTGGTGGCATTAAGGTGCTCAAACTACAAGATGTTAAAGGCGACTATTATGATATCTATTTGTCTGAGTCGAAGCTACCAGTGCCCAAGTGGATCTATAAGGTTGTACGAGACCACAACGGCAATGGCATCTATGTCTTTCTCTCCTTTAACAGCACATTTGAGAGGAGCAGGCCTCAGGCTCCCGATCTGTGCCAGCCCATTCCATGCCCATTTCACCTGTCCGACAATGCTAACGAGGGCTTCATATACTGTTGTGATCCCAAGCGCTTTCCATACTGACATTATTTAACTTATTATTGCATTTACTATAACATTAATTTAGCATAGCCAACTGTTACATTCCTTGAATTTGCTCGAGTTGGAATGGTTGGAGCAGACCACAGCAACCCTCAACTAATGGATGTCTGATGGATCTCCGATCCCTTCAAGCACGTACTCTTTTTGATCAGCACCAAAAGTTGGTGGAACACACAAACTCCAAATTTAGTTCAGCTCAATAATCAGCAATGCTATTTAGCCTCATTTCTTTGACTAGTTACAGTTTGGGGAGTTCATTTTACCTTAATGCAGACTAAATAAATGAAACAATTGTGGGGTTTTTTTTTTGACAGTCCACTCTTGGAAAACACTTTATTGCTTCTATCACATATTATGGATAAGCTTTGTAAAAACAATAGAAGTTGTTTGGTTGTTAGCTGAACTCTCTCATATGTTGTTCAATGTGGTACTGCACTTAGACTGCGCTAGTTATCAATAGCTATATATATATATATTTATATCTTTTTTTTTTTGTTTTCTTTTTGTTTACTTTTGTTCTACTTCGTATATCTTTACAATATTTATGCTGTATGTATTAAACAAAGATCTAAGCTTAAAATGCGTTGGACAAAAATATAAAACATTTAGCCTAAGAATATTAAATGAAAACGATAAAGAAAATGGAAATAAATGAATAAAACATAGAACCAATAAATGGAATCCAAAAATCGAATATATTGCACTAAAAATTTAGTAATGGGGCGATTTGTTGGTTTTAAATGTTGCTACTTGTTCAAGATTGCTTCGTGAAATCTCAGTCAAATCAAAACTTGTTTACAAATAAAAAAGGTATGTGTATGTGTGTGTGTATATAACTGTAATACGTGTGTGTGTTTTTCGATAAATTTGTTTGTTGGTTATAAATGCTAAAAATTATACTCTTTCTTTGGAATTTCCTTGTAGCTTTAATAGCATAGCAATGAACAAAGGCAATTCGACAACAAAGAAGTTTAGATACGAAATTACTTAATTGTTATCCTGCTTATTGATAAATTTCAAGACAACTTTGCCGCCCTGCACATCCAGGGAATAGAGACTGCCATCCTTGATCTCATTGTTGAGCACCTCGTCGGTGACGCTGACAAGAATGCCCGATGGACCCGAAATATACACGCAACTCTTGTTAACCTCATTGAATATGTTCGAGCCGCTGCCGGAGTATTTTGAATGCATGCCCCAATTGTTGTAGAGCGCCGCAGCAGCAGCAGCCGCAGCTGCAACACCGCCATTCTCCAAGGCGCCACCAGATCCGCCCTTCGCCATGAACTCATAAAAGCCCGGCAACTTGTACAGCTTCTGCTGCAACTCCTTGGCCGTGTTGGAGAGCAAGTAGATCGCATTGTAGCTGTAGCCATCCATGCTCGCATAGAGAGTCAGACGTGGGGCAATCGTTCTGTCAGCAAAATAGAAAATTAATTATTAAATGAAATGAACGAGTTTCGAATGTCGAAGTTATCCAATTTCTACAGCTTTCTATCTTCTAAGCTTTTGTTAATTGTTTGTTAAGCTTTCCATTTTAAAAATGGATTTTTAATCGGTTCTGTATTATATTATATTTATTTTTCCGTACTTAATAATGCCAACTAGTTTATAAATATTTTTCAAATGAATATAAATCTGTTGTTATTATAAACTGGAATTGAAACTCACATCGCGAGCAAAATTATGCATAGTTTGTTTTTCTGAATAATTAAAGTGAACTTGCCGTTCGAAATGAGATTTTCTGTTAAGCTTTAAATTTAATTGAAAGCCTTTAGTTGTTTGCGGAACTTGTCAAATGGTTTTTGAACTTACTTGGCGCGTAAAATATTGAACATACGTATGCCATCGGCAAGTCCACAGATTTGTATAAGATCCTCCTTGGACATGCTTAATAAGGAAAGAGAATGCAAGAGAGGTATAAGCATTTGCTGGCAATGAAAACTCTGTTGCAAGCTGATGCTCACCGCATAATGTCCGCGCCCGAGAAATGAGTAAAGGTGGCTAAGTAGGCCGTCAGACGATGATTGGTCAGCCATTGTGTCACTTGTGCCGGTGTCGAGTCCGGCATTATGTTCTGGTTCTAAAAGAAAAATAGGTTATAGATATTTAAACAAGTGCTAAGGTGTGGCATGCTTACATAGTCTTCCATATCTGCTGGCACATGTGGCGGCGATACCATATTTGTGGCATCCATTAGTTTCAATGTTGGCGAATTTGTTGATGTCACTGAATTGATCGCAATGGGACTGCTGCTGGCCGCTGGTGATGCGCTGCTCGCAAATGGAAGCATTCCATCGTATTTTGGTACATGCACCGGCGAATTCGGCCACAGTTTCATACTGAAAGAAGAATTAAAAGGAGGCAAAAGTGAGTATTAGTAAATGAAATGAATTGCAGATATGCTATTTACAAATTCGATGTGCTCTCGTGTGTTTATAACATTTGTGATCCTTTAGATACAAGCGCATGTTCACGAATGCTGAACGAGCCAGCAAATCAAAAATCAAGCCCAAAAGATACACAAACTTTAGCTACAGATACACACAAAGAGACATCCAGTTTTTGTGGCTGCTCCTCTCTCTCTCTCTCTCTTCCTCTCTCGGCTAGTAGTTTTTGGCATTGGCTTTAAGGCTGGTTTTTTAATGCATAACCCATAAATAAATACATATTCATTTTTATATATAAACTTGCGACAAGCTGTGTTGTTTTTGATTATACCTTATATAAAGCTTTATGTTTAACTTATGCAGATGATAGACTCGAAATACGTTGGCTAATTCAATTATCAGTGGAATTCTATAAGTAACTGAGGTCTTTATTTATTATTAATATGTTTACTCCCTCTCATAAAAAATGAGCTTAGCTAAAACGATCAAATATGTTAATAATATTTATTGTATTTATGTGGACTGAAAACCAAATAAAAAATAAATAATTCAAAATAAATTTTATTATAATAGAAAGTATAAAATTTCATGATTAGTCATATCTAATAATACGTAAATAAATAAATAAAACGCGTCCCTTTAGAACCCTTACATATATCATATATTAACCCAAATCAACCTCTCCAAGTATTAAAAAAGGGTATTGCAACCGGTTAAAATCACAACATTTCATAGCTATAACTAAAAAATGTATATGATCTCATTGATACCATTCAAAACGAGACTTCTTTCTAAAACTGAAAGAAAAAACAAGCTAAAACAAGATGGTCATAAAAAAAGTTATATTTGCAAATGATCCTGCGGCTAAAATGCGAATGAGGTTGAGATCATAATAAAAACAAAAACTGGTTTCAAATTCCCGTCTATCAATCTTCCATAGATTAAAATATTTATATTTCCAAAAGAAAACAAAAAAATAAATAAAAATGAATAGCTAAATTGCTTGAATTCCCCATTTAAAAAAATTCCATAAACATAAAATGAAAGCTCATCGATCAAAGTAAACAAATATCTGTAGATATATGGAAATTTTAAAAATTTATTTAACCTGTTTATATGTGTGTGTGTGTGACTGATTTACTCACATACGTAAATTTATTGCACTTTAAGCTGGCCGTGTTATGCAAATAAAGTTAGCTTAACGACTAGTCTAGCTTATTGTGGCACGGTACTTAGCATTTGTCTGTTAAACTGTTTTTTATAACTCAGAGCGCTCTTTAAGTCCCATGAATAAATCAAAAGCTAAATTGTGTGTATACAACGTCTACAGTCCCATGAGCAGCAAGTTTGTATATATCAAAAACGTGACAATACAAAAATGGGGAACATAATCTATCAGCAAATAGAAATGCTAAAGCATTTAAGAGAGGAAAGATTAAAGGAAAGAATCTGCCATCTCTCGCACTCAACCTAAACTGCCATATAACATATCAAATTCATCTTTTGCATATTTCTATTTCATTTGTGTTCTTTTGTCACATTTGCTTATAGATATTTCGGTGCAACAACTTTTATATTGATTGTTCGTATGGGAACTAAAAGATTTACTGATTTTTTACGTGTGAAGCATAATAATACTCATAATAATAATAATAATACTCATAATAATAATAATAATACTCTTAAGGGTTGGTCGTATATATTGGTAATAAAACTTATTTTCAATTTTCATCAAGGTAACTTAAGAACTGATGGAGTTGCTGATCAAGAATATGTACACCTTATGGGGTTGGAAGCATATCCTTAAATGTATTAAATATATATTTAGATCTTTTTCCTTGCAATGATAATCTTGACAGCAGGAACGGAAAGAGATTCCGTACTGCATTTAGTAATCTTAGAAAGACTTTCGCAGAAGAATAATATAAAAATATACTCACTACTCGGGACTGTAGCAGCCTGTTGTGGTGGTTGGCGTTATCAGGTCCAATGATATATCATTCATTATGGTGCATTCGTAGCTGGGCTGGAATTTATCCTGCTCAGATGTTGGCCGCTTCTGTATTTTTTCCCGATCCTGTTTGTGCTTGCGATCGGCGCCTTTTAGCTTGAAGACCTGCAAAGGCATTTCAATTAGTCAACATCTGTTGTTATATTCCGAAATACACTCAAAATCGGCTTGAAATTTAGCAAATCACCCTTAAATCAAAATCGCATTAGCCCCAAGAAAGTCTTTCTTGTTTTAGGTAATAATTTCGAAATATACGAAAATGTTTCTTTAATTTAAATTCTAGCTCTAATGAAAAAAAAAAGTTTCTGCAAGAAGTAAAAATTAAAAATGATTATAAAAATTGTTTAAAATCTAAAATTCAGAAACAAGAATTCAGAAATTTGCCATCTTAGAGCTTAGATTATACGAATTTAAAAACTATTTAAAATGCTTGAATTTGTGAATTGTTGAAATACTAATCTCTTAAGAATAAATTACTTAAATGAAAATAAATCTTAAGAATAATAAAAAATCAAGAGAAACATATTTTCTTTAAGAAATATATTTTCTTTACAATTCATGAAGAAAAAAGTGGAAATATTTTCGAAATTCAAGGTTGAATTTGCTGCTTAGAGTAATTGTTACCTTTTCAGGGGCAATGCTCACCTTAATCTGACAAGCAGCTGCATGCACCGCCTGTTTGCCATTGAGTGCGGCACGACTGTCCGATGTGCCACCTAATGTGTTGTTGTTGCTGTTGCTGTTGTTGTTGATGGTTGTTGTATTGCTAGTGTTGCTGTTGGTGTTGTTATTGACACTGGCACCGCTGCCACTGCTGCTGCTGCTAGTGCTGCTACTGGTGTTACTGTTGCTGCTATTTGCTGGTGAGTTTTCTATATAGGTTTCAATTTGTAGACGAAACGGTACACCCTTTTCACCACCGTGCTTCTTTGGTGTGAACTCTGTTGAAATGCAATTGACCTTGACGTAGACGCCGACCTCCTTGAATGGATCCCAAAAGATCTCCACCGTGTTCAGTGCACTCGAACTCAATGGCTGCGACACGTGGCACAAACCATACGATAATGGCACATCCACCTCAATGATGCGATCACCAGGACGCGATGCTTGCCATTGTTGCATCTGTTCGCGTTCCATGAACTGCAATCGACGCTCATGGAAACAGATTTTGATAACGCTCTGAAAGACATAAAAGGAAACACATAACATAATTGTCAACTTTCAGTTTGCCAACAAACAATAATTATTATTATTATTATTATTTTATTACTCTTGTCCGAGTTTGCAACATGAGGCAACATGACGCTTGCGCATGCGCATGCCTCAAGTTGTTTTGCGTACAAATTAAGTTTAATTGGGGCATATTAAAATCAATTAACGTGCCTCACACATATCTCTAATATTTCAGTATGGCCAGCAAACACATATCTGCCCTCAGCCGCGGTTGACGTCGACGTCGATTGCGCTGCCCAACAACAATCATATATATATATTTATATATATATTCTCAACGAGTACAGCCTATAGCCTTAATAGAAACAACCATAACAATAACTCTGTCAATTTAAACTCAATTTTTTTCATTTTTCTTATTTGTTGTTTTTTTTTTGTTGCAAATTACTTTGAACTCAACGCATGAGTTAAGCAAAAAACGGACAAGAAGTGTGAGGATTCTGATTTACGACAACGTTTTACTCACCTTCAAAATCTTATCGCGATAGAATGATAAATCACCAATTTTCTTCAATTTGATCTCATAGCTTTGACCCTGATTCAGATAGGTCAAAGTCTCCTCATTGTTCTTTGTCGCAATTGAGGTGGCCGCTGCCAAAATGTACTGGAATCTGCAAAGATATCAATCAAATATTTAATGATCTAGATTTAAAAAGAAACGATTTACGATATACAAAGGAAATGAGAAATATTTAATCTCATTTCAATTTCATTGCCTACAGTTATAGATGAAAATAAAGAAATCAATTTAAAATACAAAAGACAAAAGCTGAAACTGAAACTGAAAAGAGACTTAATATGAAATCTGTGAAAAAAATATTTGAAATCGATACTCTGGAATCAAGATCAACACATACAAAACATATATACACAAAAAGCTGGGTACGCCCATGTGTATAACTACAAAACCTTATCATTTATAAATATCAGAATTTAATCTGTCTGGCAATTGTCATTACGTCAAATATATTTTTAAAGCTTTGTAGCTATATTCTTAGAAAGCTGATGGAATCAATATAATGTGGAATGGATCTATATATATATATATATAAATATATATATATTTATATATCAAGAAAATCTTTTTATCGATCTATATCTATAAACATAGAGAGTTTAACCTGACTGGCGATTGACATTACAGCGAACGATGATAAAAACTTTTTCACAGCGAAATTAATTAGCTAAACATAATTAAGTACTCTGAACTATATTCTTCCAGCAAAAGACAGATATTTTAGTCTCAACTGCTTAACCTGGTATATCAGATAACATTCTTAAAGATTGCTCCATGTCTCCTCTCAATATGCACGGTACACGAAGATTTTCTTACTTGTGATCCTCGGCATGTGATGCACCACTGGATGAGCTTGGCTCAATTTTGGCCGCTTCAACAACGCTCACCTGCTGCGGCAGCTCAGAGCGTGCTGCAATCATAAATTGATGCAATTATATGGAATGTAATGTAACTAAATGTTTATGCTTTACTTACGCGCCTGGGCATAAGCCTCGTTGCCAGATGCAGCAATGGTTTTGTCCGTTGCAGTTGCATTTCTATTGGTGGCACTGTCCTTCAGTTCAAATTCCGTTGAGGCGGGCGAGCTTTGTGGTGAGCCACAGCCGCATATAATAGCGGAGTTCAACTCATGCTTGCCACCGCTTTCGCTGCCACTGTTGCCAACAGCTGTTACTGTTCCTGAAGCAGCGCCAACCACTTCCTGGGATTGGACCGGCCGCTGTGGTGAATGATTGGCATCGCCCAATGGCGACTTGTCGATCTTGCCAATATTGTGCACAGCCCCCGCAGAGCTGCTGTCCAAGGGTAGCTTTGCAGTCGGTTTCAGCTGCTCCGTTTGCGGCTCCTGTTTCAATGCCGTTAAGCTCGGCGAGAAGGCCAAGAAGTTTTCACTGCGAAAATAGTCTTAGCATTAGCACCTGACAGCTTTTCCCTCATTATTCGACACCCTCACTCACTTGTTCAAATATGAGTTGCTATTAAAATCGGCGTTCAGATCGAAGCCAATATCGTCGCTCCAGCTGCTGCGACCTGTAAGTAAATAAATCCCAAAGTGAGAGAAAATATAAAAATTTGTGTTTATTGATATAATTTAACAAGTGTGGCTAAACACTTATCTCTCTAATTATTACGTATAAATTGTGGCTGTTATCGGCAACAAATGTTTGTATTTTTCTGTATGACGTCAATTGATTTAATATATCAATTTTGTTGTGCTTTCAGATAAATATAAAAATACAAATGTTCGCACAGAGACGTAATATAAATTAGTTATTTGAAATAAATTGGTAAGCTGAGCTCTAAATAAAACACAATAAGTTACAAGTTAATCTAAAAAGTGTTAGATGAATTACTTATTAAGTTATTGGTTTAAAAAAACTGCCGTGGACTTTGGCATTATACAAAACTTCCCGTATATTTAAAAACTCCTTTTCCACCCTACAAATATGATCTCCCTTCCGATCATATCGCTAATCCAACACATATTTAAATTAAATTAAATTGTATTTTTAATTTATTTCTTTTATTATTATTTTTTATTTCAAATGTATGTTTAAACATTCTCTTTCAATTTTATGTCATTTAATTTGTAATTTCTATTTTACTTTTATGATAATTTTTGAAGTTGTGGACGGTTTTAAACTAGAATAAAAAATAAATAAATGTATCTTGGGCTTATCTTTGCGCCCCATTATTTAGTTCGACCTTTGCACTCTCCTCTTTCATCTTTCTTGTTTAATATAAATTTAAATTTTATTTATTTATTTCCTTAAATATAATTACATTAATTTTACTTTTATATTTGATTATAACTTTATAAAAACCGGGAATGTTTCTATTCTAAATACTTTACTCTCTAGTTTTATTTGGTTGTAAATTGCTAATCAATTTATTAGCGAACCCAATGATAATAAATAATAAAAAAAATAATAATTAATTATTCGTTGTAGTTACGCGTGTGCTTTTTGCATATATATAGTGTCTATATCAATGAGCCTAATGACTTGCGGTAGAGATACCTGAAACTGTTTTAGTTATGGAACCTATAAAGTTGTTTGCAATTTTAACTTAGTTGAAAATACTGACTGTGAAATTATTTGATTATCCACACTACTGCTTATAAGGGAAATTGTTGAACTCTAATTGTTTAAATATACAATTTCGAGAGCAAAGCCCGAAGCCGCCACGAATAATAGAAATAAAGGCTGGGCGTGGCGCTTTAGAATGCGAAATAAATGAACAACATCCATTAAACGGCTAAACATTACATAAACTGAATGCGAATACTATAAATGTGTAAATAATCAAAGTGGTATACACACCATAGCCTTAATCATTAGTTGCTTTAAGTGAAAGATAATTAAAATAATTGCTAAAATTTTTTTCCAAAAATCTAATTAAATACTGCGCGAAAGTTTTCCACAATTTTTCATGATTTAACCGAAATGGAATTGTTTTAATTGCCGGTTCTACCAAACATCAACCATTTTGTGGCCTTATCTTGGCTCCGTTGACGTGTGCATTTCAAATTTCTTGATAAGCCATCATGAGTACTGCGATAGGGCCCCTTTACTTTGTGTTAGCTGTGCATTTTTGTTTTTGTTAAGAGTTAAAATTATATGGCTCGATATCTCTCTATATCTGTATATGTTTTGTGCTAGTTGTAGCTTATGTTGGATCTGTAATTAGGCCAATGGCAGTTGGTGTTCGACGTGATTTACATGACTTTCTGACCATCTGTGATCTTTTGGACAGTATGTTTCTAGAAATAAAGTTTGCATTGCAAGACAGTTAAGCTATAATAAATAAAATTCAACTTTTACTATGAATAACTTAAATTTGGCTTGTTTTATTCTTACAATGTTCTGTCAATTAACACCAATTCATTCCCATGTGGGCTTAATTAATTACAGATTTACAGATTCGCTACAGTAAACAAGAAGAGAGAAATAAGACTATAATCTTTGAGTGATCTTTTAAACAATTTATCCGCTCTTTTAGGCAAGAGGTTTTTTGTGCCTATCTTTTTCCCACTTTCTTTCTTGCTCGTTCAGCATATTTTGATATCAAGAAGAGACGAAAACAGATTCAAAGTGGTCAATTTAAATACCCGATATTTAGATATAGCGCAAGAAATAATTTGCTAATGCCAGATTTCCGAAACATGTGCTTCCGATACTGGAGACATCAAATCTTCCAGGATAAAGAAAATCACATCCCTTTTACATATATCCTATGGTAAAGATTTTGTTGAATAGTTTTGATTATTTGTATTGGAGCAGTTTAAGTTTTCACAATCGTAGCAAAATATTTTCGTCAAAGACTTTTAAATAACCACCAAGTATACTTCTTAGTTTTGTGATTAGAGTTTGATTATATAAGTGTTAAGTCACGATTTGGGCAACAGACAACAACAATGACTTTTTACGATCATCACATACACACACGACTATTGGATATTGATTAATTAGCAAATCGCTTTTTGTTTTTGAAAATAATTAACACATTTGCCAAGGCATCGAGGTTGGTACAGCTCCATGTCATATTCAAAAATAATAAGCCCAAATCTTAAGACCACATAGGGTTGTAGACCATTTCATTCTGATGCCATCCATGCGTATAGCCACCCGCTAATTAAGATTAAGATCACCGTCAAATCGCACATTTCGTTGACGCAAATGCTCAAAACAAGTTTCCAATTGTTATTCACTTTTAGGCAACAGCATTTGAGTAGACGCTTCAAAATGTCTGAGTGCCCTTATATATATACTTAGCTCATAAATATTTTTGAATGCCACATTTCTAGTGGGATTCCCCTCAACGTCAAATTAAGCAGTTGAACTTAAACGTAAACAAATAAAATATTTATATATCATAATATTGAATATGACCGAACAAAATAATATCAAATTATCACTGAAATCAAACTGAATCTGACCGAAACTATAAGAAATCAAATAAGTTTTCAATATTTTGCAGACAGGAAATTATTAACTATAGTCAGACCAATATGTATTCCTACACATAACATATGCTTGCAGACCTCAAACTGTGGCTTGATCTGCCCGGTTAAAATGGTAAGGATACACATGATTTAATTGGGAAAAAGAAAGAATAAAATAATGTCTTACTTTCTTAATTTCTATTAATATATTAGGAATCTGAGAAGTGTACTAATAATTATTGAACAAAAAAAGTGCCTTAATATAAAATTGATCTTTATTATAAAATTAACCATTTATGTTTAGGAACTTTTATACAAAAGCTATAAAAGTTGAAAGAGATAGGTAGGATTCTCCGATCCTTGCAATAAGTGTTGGACGAATTAACATTTATTTAGTTTTTATTTTTCATTTTAAAGTTTTTAATAGAATTATTCACTTTGAATAATATGTCTGATAATTTGTAACTTTCATTTTAAATAAAATGTTGAATTTTTAAAACCATTTTTAAATGTGGTCTCTTCTTAGTCCACAACAAATAAATAAGAAATATTAATCATCAATTTTTAGATTATATATGCATTTTAAATGTATTATAAAAATGCAAATAAAACTTGTTCAAAGCCTGAACCAGTTTTTGTATTAGCTTTTTTGTTTTAATATATTTAAATGATATGCTTTCTTACCTGAATGCTTTTCACGTTTGTGTTTATCTTTCTCGAGATGTGCTACCTTATTGGGTATGTCGCCCGATTGTGTTGTCGGCGAATTTTCACTTTGGCCAATATCCAATGAGTCCCAATCCATTCGTCTTTTGCGTGAACCACTCTCTGAGTAAATTGTCCGTACGTCGATAATATGTGGTCCTGGTGAATCCTTGGACTGTGCGTCTGCGGTAGTACGAACCGAAACGAATCGAAAACGTATCGATTAGCCATTAGCGAAAGCGATATCGATTGCTTTTGATAGGTGGGATGAGTGGATGGATTCGATGATTCTTATGTTTATATTGTGGGCAGTGATGAGTAGTTACATTATCGAAATGGAATTATCAATAATATTCTTCCTTACCTGTCCAAGATTCCTCAGAGGTCGGTGGCGAGTCAACAAAGTTAATCACTTGCTCATAATCCGACCCAATATGCTGATGATGATAGCCGCTCATGAAATGACGATTTTGGACCTACGCAAGGCAATGGAAACGTGGAAATCATTCAAAGCAATTCGAAGCAACTAAAAGCAAGAACTATAAGAACCCTGTCTCGAGGAAACTTTTCAAGTACTCGACCTACGATTTACTTTCCGAAAACTGAACGTTTTTGAAATCGTGAAGCATGATGTTGTTCCAGAGCCGCCCGCCAAACGATGTATTGCCTCAACAGAGCGCACATTATCACTCAATTCTACCTAAAATGCTATAGGGGTCCTAAACCTTGCTGATAATAATACAGACTTGTGACAATTGCTACGCCTATCAATTGTGCTCAGTTATACATGAGTGTGTGTTGAAATGTGAGTGTTTGTGTACATAGTACATCATCTTCCACGCGTCCAGTTTGTTATTTTTTTGTATGAGAGTAAAGAAAAATCTCTATAATCGATTCATTGCAATATTGTGTAAGTACACTCAGAAAAAAAAATCACCCTGAAATCTAGAAAGTCTTTTTAGTTTTTAGAAATAATTTCTAAATATTCGACAAACAATTTCGTTAAACTAGAACGGTTTTTCGTTATTTTATTTTTTAATATTTATTATTATATAGCAATGCAAAACCCATATTTGCAGTAAAAATTCTTTCTAAAATTCATAAACAAATATTTATAAACTATCTAAAATGTTTTTAATGTGAAATCTTAAAGTGCACATGTTTAACAATAATAATAAGAGCAACATTGTCTAACTTAAGAATACTGTCTAGAAATCTTTTTTCTACATTTTAGAAAGGTTTTTAAAAATACTAATAGCGCAAAAATTTGAGGGACACTTCTTTTCTGAGTGTATGTTTTTGTATATTTACGAGTGGTTGAGATTTGATTTGCTACGCCGCTACGTCTGTAGTCTGTGGACTTCATTTCATTTTATTGCGTTCTCAAAAGATAAGAGAGAACATTGTAAACAAATGCCACAAGTGGCAGGCAACCTGTCGAATGTGTTGGCAAGCAAAGAAAGTCGACAGATTGAAGCTATTCCTAAAAGCATCCGCTTCTTTATATGGTATATAAGTCAGGGGCAATCTAATGTCTGACAAACCGATTCAGTTACACAACATTTTGTTTACCTGTCAGTGCCAGTCTATTTGTTATTTGAAACCAATTCTATACTAAGTTAAAGCGCTTACATGCACATTAATTTTATTTATTCGATTTTATTTAAAAAATAAAAATTGTAGACTGTGTATAACATTAATTTGAAAATCGAAAAGTGTTTTTTTTTTATAGACAGGCATTTTATGCTGTTGGCAAATAAACATCAACTACTTTTATATATTTCTACTAATCTTTATATTTATACAGGTGTTGGTAAGCACACAAATAATTCTGTTTTTACTTTACTTTTAATTTTTGCAAATTTAAAAGCTGGCATTTTTAAAGTAATTTTTGTTTGTTTGAATATTTCACTAAAAATAATATCTAAGTTATACAAATTGAAAATGTTATGATCTTACCTGATTTAAATGTTCACTGTTGTTGTTGTTGTTATTGTGGTTGTTATTATTGTTGATGGTACTGTTATTATCGTTATTGTTATTGTTATTCTGGTACTGATTATGGTTTCGACTCAAATTATTATTGAATTCCATTTGGTCGAAATCGTTGAAAATGCTCAAATCAAATTTCGTTGATATGTGTGATATTTGATAATGTTGTTGTTGTTGATGTTGGTGTTGTTGTTGTGATGGCAAATAAAGTTGTTGTTGCTGCTGCTGTTGTTGTTGATGTTGCTGATGTTGATTTTCTTGTTGATGTTGTTGTAATGAATATTGTGGATCAAATATGCTTTTTATATCCAAAAGGCCGGAACTTTGCGATAAAAACGAAAGCGCCATTCGGTATGAAAACAAATTACTGTTCAAATTCCACGTCCTCTTTTTTGTTACAAAATATTATTATATTATTTAATTGATTTTATTTATTTGTCTATTGATGTAATTTCCACAATAACTGTAATATACGCACTTCCTAACGAGACACGGTGTTTTCCAGGGTATCATCCACGGTCAAGTTTTTCCTTTTTGGCCCCTTATAAATTATATTTATGTTTGGATTTTGTTGTTGGATTTGTTGTAACAACAAATAATATTTTTTGTATGTACTCGAAATAGAATGAAGTTATTTTTTTGCTTTTTATATTTAAAGTATATTTTTATGTTATGTCAACATTTTGTGGATTTTTTATGACAACAAAGAAATATATTACACTTTTTTTGTGGTTATTTTTGTTTTTTTTTTTCTCTTAGCACAGCACTTGGATATTGGATAACAACTAACAACCAAATAATATCTATAGTATTTTATTTTGCTTTTATAATTTTCGCAACTATATTTATGTATGGTTTTTCTTTTGAATATATAAAAAAAATTTTGTTGTGCGTTCTTCGGGCGGGGGACAACGCGATCTTTGATCAATTAAAACAGCACAAAAAACGAATTATATAGTTTCTTGATACCGGTGGTCTCACGCTGACGATGGCTTCGAAGTAGGGTATTTTCAATTTTTAACAGCATCTTGTTTCGCAGATACATATAGCTCGATTGCGACTGATATTCATTGGACATGCGTTGCAGCCGGATTACAGATTTCTCCATTTATCGCTTAGTTTCGCTTTACTCTCGGGTGATGATGCAAAGTTGAACCGCACTTATTTTCCGCCTGTTGCTCCGTTTTTTCTTCTTCTCCTCCTTTCCTCTTTTGGGCGTGATTTGCTGGTTGGGTTTTTTTTTGGCGTCAGACTAATCCGTACATTCTAGCGATCTGCAGCTGGGAGTGATTCTTTCACACAGGTTGCAAGTTTTGGGTTCCTTTTTGTTTAGCAAAGGTGAACTTTGATTATGTTTATGGGGCACACTGTCTGATTTTTGACATTCTTATGGGGCGGTGGGAACCAGATGGTTTGGCACTTGTGCGACTTTGTTTATATTTTCACTTCTTTTTTTTTTTAGTTATTTTGTCGGTTTGATTAGTTTTTTTGTGGGCACTGTCAGATGGCGAACATTATTGCTGTTAATTCGGCAAGTAGTTCGCAGAGTTCTTGAAATGTAAAAATTTTACAATGAAATATTCCATTTGGTTTACACTTTTGTTTATTACGATTTCTGTCACTTCTTTTTATATTTGTATTTTATTTTTTGTTTTCTTTGTTAGTAGCAGAGAGGCACAACTATTCCAGACGCGCTTCGGTTTTACTCTGTTTTCTGTACAAATCGCTGCGGAGCTTTGGCACTAATATTTTTACCCACTGCTTAAACTTTAATCGCTGCTCACATAGACGAGAGAGAGAGACACAGAGAGAGAGTAGCACAGTTGTCGATGTATGCGTGTTATTTATAGAAGCCGTTGTTGTGTGTATGTGTGTTGTCTGCGTGTGCAGCAGACTGATAAAGTTTTTAAAGCCTTATTCACGTTTGTGTGTCGTTTATTTCTCTTTTACATTTGTGTGAGTGTGTATTTTAGTTATATTTGTTATATATGAATGTGTGAATTGTTATATGCTTGTATAAAGTTTTTTTTTTTTTATTAGAGCCTTTTTCTGTAGCAGTTCAGTTTTTTTTTAATTTCGAAACGGGCTTTTGAGCTATAACGCCAATTATTCAAATTAACAATCGAAATGAGTTTATCGTTTGATTTGCTTGCTTTGCCGATCGCCAAATATATATATATATATATATATATATTTTTTTTATAATTGCGATTTATTTTTGTTATTGATTATTTTGCTTGCTGCCAATTAGTATCCTTTATTTTATTTTATTTTTTTGCGATGATTTACACGCTATAGGAGCACTTTTAGACCGACGAAGCGAGGCTTCGAAAAGCCCAAAGAGACGAGCATTTTTCGTGTGGCCAGAATTTTGGTCGAGCGCCAACCAACACGGACACGAGGCTAAAATATCAATGAGTTGCACGAATATTCGCCGTTAGCGGGAAACTACAGTTTACAGTTTCAATTTTTCTGTTTCCGAATTCAGCGCACCAAAAACCGAGCGAGCCGACGACGACAATGACGACGACGACAACGAGACGATCACAAAACGAAAAAAGAAAAAAAACACAACTTGTGACCACGACGGACACGGGACGATGAGAGAGATTGCGATTGCTGCTGCTGCTGCGACTGCGACTGCGACTGTGTTGACTGCTGCTGCTGCTGAGCTGATGCTGATTGTAGTCGATAAAAGCTGATGATTGCTGCGACTGCTCTGCTGCGACGCTTTTCGCTGCTGCTGCTGCTCTAATTGACAATCGTTGTTGTTGTTGTTATCTAAATAGTAAAAGGGCTTTGCTGGAATTGTTTTTGTTTTTGTTCTGTCTGCTGCTCAGCTGTTTTGCACGTTTTCTTATCTGCTGTTATTTTGATTACGACTGCAGCGACGTCGCATTGTCTCTTTTGTTTTTGCCTTCTTTCCTTTTATCAAAACGCTTTACCAGCACTACTAGCGTCGTCTCGCTCGCACACACGTGTTGCGCGCTTGGCTTTAGCTGACCCTTTGCTGCTGCGTTTCACTGCGAATGCTGCCGACGAGCGACACAATAACAAATTAATTATTTCAAACAAAGCGTATTTTTTTGCTCGATTTTTATGCTGCACTTGCAATTGAATTCAATTCAAACTTGTTACATGTATATATCTAATCTACATATACATATGTGTGTGTGTGTTAATTTGTGTTTGTGAGCTGTTCACTCAAAAGCTTTCAATGGCTGCTGTTTTTACTGTTGTTATTGTTGTTGTTGCTGTTCGCACTTTTGCTGCGCGCGTCGATGACGTATTTTGGCACGCACTCTTAATGAACGGCAAAAAAAAAACAAAGAGCAGAAACTCTGTTTTTAGCCGCTTTGGGTTTTTTTTTTTGTTTTATTTGATAAACAAATATTGCCGACGTGTTATTGCTGCTGATTGTCGTTATCGATTGACCGCTTTGTTGGATTGTTGTTGATGTTAAAACTGACACAAGAAACTTATGTTTTAACCGATGGAAGGAAACGTACTGATTTTGGTGAGCGAACAACACACGTTAATATAAATTTTAGCTCATGCTCTGCGCTTAACCAGCTGACTGACGTTTGACGCTCTCTTTCGCTCTCGTTTGCCGCAGAAGTAAGAGAACGGGACAGGCACACAAAGAAATGATGATAATGCCATGCGTATGCCAGCTGGAAAATACAGTTGACAACCAAAACATAGCACTGGAAAGTCGAAGCTGTCCTTCGTTTTCACACACAACACAAGATATCAACAAATAAGCGCAACAGTTGAACAGCTGTTGCCCTTAAGAGCAACAACTAACTAACTAAGAGCATCGACTGCGCTGCATCTGCCATTGGGTCAACGGTTTTACTCTTAGCATTCACATAAATATTTAAAATCATCAGCATTTAAGGGCCAATCATCTTTGGATCAGACATTCAAATTATACGCAAATGCTTCTGATTGGTCCAAAATATGACTTCGTTTAAATGTGGCTTTAAGTGACTTAAATTCGGATCATCGTTAATTAATTCGAATTAATTTTTGACATTTAATAATTGTTTAACTTTAAATAATTGTTGACTTCGTTCATAAGTTGTGTTAATTAAAAGTTTAACTGATAATTGGGAAAAGTCACCGAAATTGCTGCTTAATCAATAAAAAAAATGACAATAAGACAAACCAAATTGGTTTTCTTAAGTCTGATGTTAACTTTTTAATGCTTTCTCGTTGTGCATTTCTTCAATTGATGGCAATGACAGCGGGCGAATTGAATATTTTTCAATTGTTTTTAAATTGCCATCAATAGCAAGGTTTCAAGTGAAATTAATTAATTTTGCACAATGAAAGTCAAAGACGCAATTCGTTGTAATAAAATTGTATGTTTTCATACATGGTACATTCATTCAAATAGATATTGATCAGACATGTTTCAACAACGGGGGTAAGAAATGGCTGCCGACTTTGGTCTTAATTAATATATCATGAATATGAATTTTTAGTGGCTTCAATTAGCGACTAACGAAAATATCATTTCCTAATTTAAAATTAATTAACACAATGCTGGTCATTTTATTTACGCTCTTATAGTAATTCACCAAACCTAATGTGTCAATTAAATAAATAAATATTTTAGAAGACGTCTGTAAAGTTTTACACGTGAAGAGGGCTCGCACAATATGAATGAAAATTAATTATCTATTCCAAATTAATTTGATAATTTAATTAAGTTTATTCAACAACCTGATTTAGTTAAAAAAAATCTACTACAAGTGACGCATCAGTATCTAAATTAACACGTTTAGCAAAATTGAAATGCTCAACATCTTTTGTTTCATTTTGCATGTAAATACCCCCAAAACTCTTAAAAATACTCCTTATTTTTATAATTTAAATTGATATTCAATTTGTAATTGAATTTATTTTATACTTATTGTACTTTTGTTATCGACTTTTAGTTTGCATTAAATAAATAAGATAAATTTGCAATAAATTCAGTCTGGAACTTTGGATATATTCAAATAAGGCGCGCAAGCTGTCAGTTGTGCGCTAACGCGCTTTACAGCACTACAGAATCGATTGCAATTGCGATAGCTGGCAATATATCGATGACACCCACAACATAAATTGTCGGAGAGCAAACAACAACGCGTTGAATAAAAAACGCTGAAATTATAATGGAATTATCGCCACATAATCAAATCGAGGACAGAAAACCGATACTAACCGCCGACGGTCTGGTGCAAACATCAAATTCACCCTTCGAGCCAACCGCAGCAGCAGCAACAACAGCAACAAACACACAAACAGCAACAACAACGGTCTCGCAGGAGACACAAACATCGAACGGCATCGGAATCGGCATCGGCGGCCCTCTGACAGTTGACCAGCTGGACATCGAAATTCTGCCGATCATCTACGATATTGTGCGCTGGTAAGTGTTGCTCAGTGCTATTATTGTTGACAAAAGGTGTGTGTGAGTTTGCCGCAATGAGTGCAATAAACTGACAAACAAAATAAAATAAATACTAAGTGTTGACAAGGGAGGAAAAGTGATGAAATTGCTTAGATATGCTTATATAAGAAACACTGCTTATTTTCTTTTCTTTGTTTCGGCTTGCAGTGTAGAAAAAGATCCGCTCGAGAACACAGTTAAGCTGCGTGAATCACAGGACTGCAATCACAAGGTGAGTGGCATAAATAAATTCGAATTATTGTTGAATTGTTGCCACATTTATTTGCAACATTTTACGCAGATCTTTGAGCTGCAGAAACGCTTTGAATCGGCGCGCGAGCAAATTAAACAGTTGCCGGGCATCGATTACAACAAGGAGGAGCAACTGCAGCGCTTGGAACTGTTGCGCAGCCAGCTGAAGCTCAAACAGCAACTGATACGCAAATATAAAGATACGGAATTTTAAGACCTATAAGAAAGGATGGTGCTGCGACTCCTGATGCGCTATTTGGCCAACAATGAGCAGCTCATCCAGCGCATGGCCGACAGCTATCCGATGCGACGCGCTGCCCAATTGGTCGTCTCCCTCATGTATCGCACCAAGGGCATGGCCAGAGAGCGAGGTCTCCACGAGATGAGCCCCGAGAGATTCAAGTGGGTCCACAATTAATTGCGCACATTTCCATTGAGACATGATTTGGTTTCTCTGTTTCTTGCAGATCCTTTATGAATATGTTCAAGACCAATGTCAGGCAGGAGCTGGAGGGCCTCAAAAAGGAGCTGAAGAATACAAAAAAATAATAACTTAAATTAATTAATTAATTACATGTAGCTACGAGTTTAGGAACATAAACCAAATTTACCAAGCAATGCTGAAATGATGAACTCAATTTTGTTGTATTTTCAAATCCACAAGAAATTCAATGCTTAAAATTTAACCAGGCGAAAAGCCTGTCGAGTAAATATTTAACAGTTTTTAACATTCTACATTTTAGCTGTTTAAGTAAGATCTTGGTCAAGTTTTGATTGCTGACTAGCTTAAAGTCGACTTTTTGGTTAAGTTAACTTTGCAAATATCTAAAATAGCTGCAAATTGATTAATTTACTCTTATGCCACAAATTGGGAATGTGGCTGCAATTATTACACCTACAAAATGAGATTTTAGCGACTCTTATCAAAGTTTAATTAATTTATTGCTCAGCGCGGATCAGATTCTAAGTATCTAAAAAAAGGTATGTTATGGCACGGCAGAGCAGGTTACAGGGTATCAAACTGTGGCCCATTCAGATAATGTTGCATAGACTTGTAATTCGCAGCTGATTTCATTCGACTAGCTTGCATTACTACTCTAAACTAACTGAACTGACTTACTTTAAATGGATTTACGCTTTAAAACTATCGTTGGCAACCCAAACATGGAATTAATCCTGCGACTTTAATGCTTCAAAATATATTTATTTTCCATCAGCTGCAAACTTGGAATTATACCTTTTAAAATGCAAAAAAAAAATCTTTATTTTAATAAAGGTCAAACAGAAAAAACTGGTTTAACATAAATTGTTAAGGAGAGAGACCTGGAAACATTTGAATCTAAAGCGAGTTGGTCTGGTTGAAAGCGTTCTTCTTGTAAAAAGTGAATTTATTTTATTTTCTATTATATATTTTAGAAAATAAAATAAATTCACTTTTTAAAATATATAAAATAAGTGTTTTTAAGCTTTAATAGAAAATCAATATAGATAAAGATAAAAGAGATCGGAGAACAGGTCATTTTTGTCGAAGGTATTCGAACGGGAATTTTAGCTATTATAAATACATTTTCCAAAATATATTTTAAAGATTTGCTGTTGCAGATAAATTTTTCATTTTCATAAAGGAACTCATCTATTATTTGATTATTCCAGCTGATGTGGAAGTCCGATGTCAATCGAACTGGAGAATTTCTGTTAAGATATCTTATTAAACAAACAAGTATTCCCTATGTGAACTCATTCATATCTAGAAATAAAGAGATATTCATATTATTTCCCATTGTATGCCTCTCAGATGTGGCAAGTAACAATTTTCGTATTAATGCCACAAAAAATGTCGATCTGGCCCAGAGCGTCTTACTTCGAGGAGCTCTAAATTGAGGATTATAAATTAAACAATTTAATGCCAAAAGTTTTGGTGTACAATTTTTAGTTTTTCAAACTGTAAATTTATTATGCAAATTTAAATACGTTTCAACGTCAGGAGTAACACACTGCATGCAACACACAGCATCTGTGTAAAGTAAAACGAATAAAATCCAATTAAAATCATGTTTCTTAAACTTCTACGAAATGATCAGAAAAAATTAAACAAATTCAAATTCAAAATTTGGTTGACTTTAACACTAAACATGGACGAAATCAAAAAACATATTTATTTCTCATTCACTTTCGCAAATTTCGCACAGCATACAAAGTGATCAACGTCGCTCACCGCTAGTGTTCACTGTAGCAAACAGCAGCTGCTTGATTCACATTCTTAGCACAACCGTTTCGCCAAATACTTGGGAGGAGCTTGAGCTTAACAACTAACAAATGTTTTTTGTTTTTGTTTTTTGAATACACACAAAATGCATTTTGGAACAGATTGTGATTTAAAATACAAGTATAAATTTCTAGTTTGGTGGTGGCTCCACCATCGGCGTGGCATCCACGTGGGCGCTGCTGCTGTTGCCGTTGAGGGGCATCGCTGCTGGTTGCACTCGATTGTTGCGTTTCCGCTTGCCACCCCGTCGGCTGCCCTCACGTCGCTCGCCATTCTGTGGCTTCTGATCCTCACCAGCTGCATCCTTGCTGCTGCCGCCGGCCGCCGCTTGTGATGCTGCTGACGACGATCCCTGGCCGTGATGACGCTGCTGATTGTTGCTGCTGTTGCTGCCGCTGCCGTTATTCCCATTGTGGGCACGCGACTGCATCTTGGCCGGCTTGGGTCGATATGGTGAGGCCGCTGCATGTGGCATCGGCTGCAGTATGTTGCCCACCGCCTTGGTGCGTCCCTCGCGAAAGACCAGACGCTGTCCGGCGCGTATGTACTCCGGCTGCTTGATGAACCGGAATTTGACGCGCGCCTTGTCGCCGGTGCGCAAACAGTCGCAGGACATGCGCACAATTGACGCCGTTTGCCTGATGCTGCCGCAGTGCACCATCGCCTGGTAGCGGGCCGAGATCGTTGTCGGATGATGCAGCACCAGGATTTCGCCCTCGAATTCCCAGCAGGCCTGCGGCTTCAGTTCCGGTGATACCATCACCATGCCCTTGCGCAAATACGTCCGCTTGATTTTCTTCAGCGCAAAACTGGCCGTTTGGCCGCAACGCACCCGCTCCACATTCATCCGCTTGCGATGGATGCTCTTGATGGTGATGGGCACAAAGTTGCCAACGGCATTCGGGCCCAGCATGAGGACATCGTTCAGCTTGATGGTGCCCTGCAGACAGGTGCCGGAGACAACGGTGCCGACGCCCGGCACCGAATACACATCATCGATTTGGAATTCCGCTGGCAGATTCTCGGAGCCGGCCATGCGAGTGCTCAACAGATTGAGGAACATCTTGAGCAGCTCCAGATTGTCGCCATTCACATTCGACACCTGGAATATGGGACAGAGGCGCTCGCTGACAAAATTCGTGGCGCTGAGCACCACATCGTCCTGGCTGCGCACCACCACCGGCACCTTGCGGCATCCCTGCGATTTGAGCATCTTGAAGAGCAGCTTCATATTATCCTGCAGCACATTAGGCGGACACATGTCGATCTTGGTGACGACCACAAAGACAGGCACGGCCAGTGCCAAAGCCAGGCCAAGATGCTCCTTCGTCATGCCAATAATGCCTGCATTCGCGCCAATCTACAAGAATACAGACACATTATACATATTTATAAGGGATTAAGGCAGTTGGATGTTGTCGGATTCACTCACCATCAGCATGCCAAAGTCGGGCGCATGCCCCGTCATGCCGAACACGGTTGTCTTCAGGTAGCGTTCGTGCCCCGCCAGATCTATGAAGGTGATGACCTTGGCGGACTTCTCGCATATCTTCACCCAGTCGAGGTGGCCGTGATCCGGTTTATTGACCACGTTGCCAACGCCATCGAAGCCGAGTATGTCGTTGCCCACGGAACTGGTGCGACCGCTTTCGATTTCGTGCTTGTGCCGAAAGAGGCGCTGTCTGGCATGGCCACGCCCATTGTCCAGTTCGCCGTGTGTCAGCACGCCCAGCAGTGTTGATTTACCAGCATCCACATTGCCAACGACCGCAACGCTGCCAGAGAGAGACCGATAGAGAGAGAGACGAGTTAGTCACTGCTGCAGTGCATCCACAACCACATCCACATCCAGATCCATCCAATTGTCGCCACTCACCGTATCTCCATGAAGTCCGTGGTGTCTATATGCTTGCGTATTAGAAACTGTGCCGTTTTGCCCTTCTCGACGGCTCGCTCGCGCAGATTGACCAGGTCCGCATCCATTTCAGCAGCCAGCTGGCGCAGTGTCTGCACAGATGCCTCAAACTCCTCCGCATTCAGGCCGCTATCTCTGCCATCTGTCATAAGAACATGAAATCAATTCTATAACTCAATTTCCACTTTTATGTGCAAAGCATTTTAGTTTAGTTTAATTAAAAATAATATAAACTATTACAAAATATATTATTAATAGGAAAAGTATTAAATCAAATCAAAAATAAAATAACCTTTATTCTTCATCTCTACTTGGCCCACTTGTCTACTTATTCAACACAACATGATGAAATTATGAAGAATCTATGCAATTCTTATTTGTTTTATGCTTGGAAATGCAGCTATTTAAATCAGTCCTTGAATTTACTATGGCAAGAGCAATAAAAGTATTTCCCTGTTACAAACTTTAACATTAAATATAAATATTTCTGCAAATCAATTTCAAATGAATAATTCAAATAATTAAATAAAAATTTATGTCTAAATTCTAGCTAACCTTCAACTCATATTTAATTGAATTGATATATCATATACGATAATTTAAGGATTCCTATGAGTTAAAAATTGAATAATTTTAAAACAATTTATCTCGATTCAAATTTCATTACTGAGAGCGGTCACTGTACTCATCGTATAATTATACAAGATGGTTTGAGCAACTATATGTTGAGGATAGGAATAGTTCAACAATTTAATGGAGTTGGAAATGATTTGTTCTGTTTTGCCTGTCTGACATTATTTGGCGGGAATTCAAATTTTCTATAATCGTTTTTTAAGTGAAATTTCCCAATATTTAAATATATATATACAGTTGCGAACAAAATAATAGCAACACTCACACAAGAAATGTTGTCAACTGTGCCTTTGTTAAAATTTGTAATTATTTTTAACACTTTTCTACTTATTTAAGAAATTTTATGAAAGAAGAAAATTAACATAAAAATATTTGAAAATTGGAAATAAATAAACTATTTGTATAAAGTGCGTCAATTGTGGTAATATTTTTCGCTACTTATTAGATATTTGTCTTTAAAAAAATAAATAAATATAGATATAAAATATAGAAAGATGTATATATTTAATTGAAGCATTACGGATCGCTTACCTTCACCCACGCCGATTTCGTAGATTGTCTCGCCGCAGCTGTCCGCGATGCGATCGAGGATGCGTCGCTTGAGCAGCTGCCGCTGTTCGTCTGTGGGCTGGACAAGGACATCCTTGCCACGGATGCTGGAGTAGTCGATGGTCAGCTGCTGATGCTGCTGCATCTGCTGCGTGGGCAGGCCATCGACTGTGAAAATGTTGCTGCGTGCGCTCTTAATGCCCACGCCCACATTATTGGGCGTTGCGCTCTGCATATTGTTCATATTTGCGGTAGTCTATCTAAAGTTGGCCAATATTTATATCCTTTGAATCATTGCCTTTCTGTGTGTGTATGTGTCTGTCTGAACATGCAGTATGTTTCTACGGGAGCGAACGAGAGAGTGTGAATATTAATAAATATTAGGCAAGAGCATATTTTACAGTTAAAACCTAACCTATCCCACGCCAATTTGTCTTAGCTGAGCTTTGATCGACGTCCGCTTAGTTCTCATTTCACTCATGAAATAAAATGCTCAATGCGGGAAACGCCGCTTTTATTATAGCTGCTGATGAAATATGATTCCTTGACTGATGAAATGCGTGCAAAATATTACACACTTCCAGTGAAGAGAAACAAAGATAGAGAGAGACAGAGGGGACTTCCAGTCATTTGTCCAATTGCATTTGTACACGAAATAACCGTTACTGCTGCTGTTGCAGAACAAGCAATTGGCATCAGCTGATATGAAATTAAGATGGTTGCCCACCAGGTGGGAATTTCTATGTGCCTTGTGCAAAGTACCGCAATTTGGCAGAGACAAAATGCAATTTTGTTTTTGTTTTCTTTGCTGTTTTTATGTAAGCCATTTTTGTTGACGTACACAAAAAGCTAAAAAAAAAAACTGTTATTTTTGTTGCTCTTTGTTTGTTGGCTTTCAAAACAAAATTCTGAAGCAAAGTATTTTTAGCGCCCACACGCACACAAAATGCACACATGTATTATGTGTGTGTTTGTGTGTGTTTTGCATATTTTGACAAATCCAAAACACAACAAATTCCAGGCAAAGCTTTTTAATATTGTTGTTCTTTTGCAACTTGGCGAATAATTGAATAACAAACCGAAAATCAGCTGGGTGATTATTGAATTTAATTGCCCTTTTGCCCATTTCATTTGGGTGCAATTTCAATTGCAATTAAAAGTGAAAGGGTTGTTTTGATATTGAAATTGACTCCTGTTGCAGCAGCAGCCAATGGCCGCCGATTTTTTGTGTTATGCGGCTACTTACAGTGTTAGCGACGTATGGTTTTTTATTGCTGTTTGTGTGTTTGCACTATGCACATTGAATTTTTATGAGCTGCATTCACTAAAATTACATACAAATGTACATAATTAGTAAATGCCTCCGAAATGTTTTCGACTTTTTGCAAGCCACGTAAAATGACGTGGCGTTGCCAGCGTGTCGGACTGCATAGTGGCAACGTTGCGCGGCAATTATCGATAGCAATTCAGCAATTCATTATCGAAGTGCGCGGCACATTTCAATTTGATCGAAAAGGGGAAGTAGAAGTGGTTTAGCAGCCAACGAAAAACCGCAAATTTTATAAAATTTTTCGCTGATTATACTTAAGACTTTTTTTTTCAGCATTTATCACGTTTTTTAAGGCCTTGCACAATTTGATAAGCGAACTAACCGCAATAAATGTTACCAGAAACTTCGCAGCAGAATATATTAACTTTTTTTGGAACGTGACTCATCGGAAATATGTACTATTTACGAACAAATAAAGAAATATTACGCACACATGTGTAAAATTATTTGTATGTGGAAAGTTCTCACCTTTGAGTTTTGCTCGTTTTATTATAATTACGTATATGTTTCCGTGATAACTTGTAGTCATTGTTAATCGCGTTCATCTGTATTAGACTGCAAAACGACGCAGTTGTTTAATAATTTAATTTCACTGGCTTTAAGACAAAGTTGTTAAGACTTCCAAACAGCTGCTCGCGGCTTAATGCTAAAATTTCAATGTCAACAAGTTTATTTTCTATCTCTATCTCTGTCTCTGCCTCGTGCTTCTGCTTTTCTCCCCACCTGGTTTCTCTCTCTTGCGTTCTTCACTCCAAAAGGCGTTGCTAGGCATAACACTACATGCATAAGCCTTTACACAGAGATGTATGCGTGCGTGCGTGCGTCCGTGTGTGTGTGCGTGTGCCGGCATAAAATGAGTTATGCAAGCCAGAAATAAATGCTTACAACAAATGAATGAATGAATGAGTTGGTTGTATTTTTTACAGTTCTTTTTAATGTGTATGATAGTCTAAAAAAATAGTTTACAAATTATAAAAATGTTTTTAACAATTTTGGTACAATTTCGATTTGCATCCATTGTAATTTCCATCCAAAGAGTCTTGTTTCCAACGGTTTGTTTCCCAATGTTACAAATCAAATGTTATTTTCCAGATCGGGTGAGAAATGAATCGGTTTTTAGTTGGCGGCGGGTTTGTGAAACGGTTACCAAATAAAACTCTTAGCAAGGCTTCTGCTTTCTTCTTACATATTGTGTTCCTATGTATTCCATATGTGGGCTGAGGGAGGAGGAGGAGTAGGAGGAAAGAGTAATGCTTATGCTAAAAATATATATTCAACACGCTCTCTCATCACAAATGGTTGCTGCTGCTCCCGCGCACACAACTGGCAATGACTTATTCTGGAGTGTTTGTCTTTGTCGCATCACTTTGAATATACATATATAAGTGTGTGTATGTGTGCATGCACTCATCATATACAATATTGGAAACGTAAAAACTGTAAAACTATGTATATATATGTGTATGTAAATGTTTGCTTGTTTTCTTTTGTGGGAGGCAAAAAACAAGAGAATGCGCTGAACGTGTGTGTGTGTCTGTGAATGTAGTGGAAACGTGCTTTATCGCTTGAAAATACATAATATATATATATATATTTGTTGTTGTACATAATATCGCTTAAGCGCGCTTCCAGCTATAAACTAGTATTTTTGTCGTTTTAAGTTTTGAAAATACCCTTAATATATTAATATAGTTATTATATCTTTTATGTTTGTTTTCTGTGTTGTTTCTTAGAGCTCACTTGGATGCCTTTATTTTTTGTATTTTTTTGTTATTAGTGTGTGTGTGACATGACCCCCAACTTGAAAGAAGAAGTACTTGTATGTTTTCGTCCACTTCCTTCTCCCTACTCCTATTCGTTCGTTTTGTTTGTGTGTATGTGTGTGCTGTTAAAATGTATGTGTGTGTTTTGGTTGTAGTTGTGGGTTTAGGCAGATGCCGCAACTTCACCAGATTTCTTGGCCTGCTCAGCACTGGCACCGGCAATGGCGACCTCCTCAAAATTCTCCACCAGATCGGGGACATCATCGTCACCAGCATCCGCAGCAGCAGCAGCAGCTGCGCCACCAACACCAGCAGCTGCAGCGCCACCAGCAGCGCTGCTCTTGTTGGCAATTTCGGATGCGATCTTCTTCAGCTGGTTAATGTCCTGGGGGCCCAATTGCGTCAAAATCCCGGGCAGCATCTCGGAGATCGTCTTGTTCTCGCCATGGCCGGTGATGGCGAACGTGTTCGTTGGCAGCGATGCCTGCGCCTTGGGATTGTTGAAGTGGATGACGGTGCCGTCGTTCTTGATGATGTTCACCTCCTCGATGCCGGGTATGGTGTTCACCGACAGTTTCTTCAGCGACGACTGCAACTTCTTGTCATCGGTTGCGGGGGTGGAGTGGACAATCTTCTTCTTGCGACGTGGGGTGCCCTTGCCGCCAATGCGCACCTGCGCCTGCAACTTCTTCAGCTTCTCGGGATTCATCTGCAAGTTGAGAGAGACGCGTACGTAATGTGCAAATTAATATGTTGTTGAGTGTGCTGGGTTTTGATTTTGGAATTACTTTGATATTACTATTTAATTTAGCACAGATTTCAGCCCGAAAAAAAACACGTGCGCCCAGTTGTAGTCAAATGTCAAAAAGAAATCGCCATGATAAAAATGGCAAAGCAGTATGTATAACTGTTCGTAGTACTGCTAACAAACACTAAGGTTTGTGTTTTCTATCGATACATTGTACAAAATGCACTAAATAATGCCATCGGCTTAGTGTTCTGCATTCCAGAGTATATCAATATTGATTTCAAAAACTAACAATAATTATATTCAACATTTTCTCGTTGTTTTTTCCATATAAAATGCCAAACGATATACGATAGACTATCGATATCACACAGCTGTTATTGTGGGCACTAAACACAGTACAGCTAGTCAGTGTTGTGTTACGCCCGCTGAACGCTTGCCGTTTAAGGCGGAGCAGCTCTGCCAACTGACGACAAGTGGTCAAGATTAGCGCAATCTCAATCCCAATAATAGATAAGATAACGCGTATTATAAAGTTTGATTAAACCAACGAAACTCGTTTAACGATTAAACGCAATAACCGTGCTCTAACTATTGCCAACTGACACGTGTCGATGCATTAACCAGAGGATAACAAAGAGAGACACAACTGCAACAAGTGGAATTTTATTAATAATTAATAACTTAAATATCGTTTGTGATTGCAATAGAAGCCAATTAACGTGAGTCTGTCATAATTTCTACACTCGCGCCTCTCTTTTAACGTTTTTTTTTTTACATTTCATGTGTTCCATCAGGCACTGGATAATTTCGAAGTTTTCGACGAGTTCGCAATGGATTTCTGGGGTATTTTCATGTTCTGCCTTCTGACGTTTCTCGTGATGAGCTGCTGCGGATATTGCTGCACGAGCAAGCGACGCGGAACGGTACTTTCAAGTGAGTGCTGCTAATCGTATCAAAAGCTCTCCTCTCTTCCCATGACTCATTTGGCCAGTGATGATGGCATGCTTGTGGGGCTGAAAGGGGAGGGGGTGACGAGGGGAGGGTGTGGTTTTACTGATATGATTTATACTGAATTCGTGTTTCTCTTCAATAACTTCATGACAAACCATTAATTGTGCATATTGTGTGACAGGGCTCAAGTTTCAGTATCATTTTCTTGTCAATTCATTTTCATTTACGATATGACTTAATCTCATTTATTGTGTCTACGCGGAGTTTTTTGTTTTTTCTGGAATTGTTAGACACTCTCTTTCGTAAACATTGTCGTACGAGAATCGATATATGTCTTATATACAATATACATACGCAGTGCTTTGACGTTTACGGTTGGTTGGCGAAATGAGTTTCAGCGAAGTTCTCTCCACATGCCATCGAAACCTTTTCATCAATTATTTGATTATAATATAAAAAATCCAAAATACAATTCATCTTCCCTTCTGCTATACATATATATGCCTATATATATAGGCAAATGACTAATAATTATTTAATTATTGTGTGTTATCTTATCTAATGGCTTTATTCGACTGTCACATAGTCGCCTGACCTCCGTAATAAATTTAATTGTGTCACATTCAAATGCTCTATAACGTTTCTGATATTTGAGATCAATGATTGCATAATTTTTGTTTCGTTTTGGATTGGAAATAATTTGAATATTTGTTTGCGTAAAAATATCACAAATTTTATTTACCTCCATAAATGCTGTCTGCTTTAATGGTTTACAAATTTATGTACTTTATGGGTACTTCTCTGTTGATCTTGCACTGTAAGAGAAGAATATGAATAATTTTTGAAATTACGATAGAAAAAAATACTAATACAAATATTTTGCTACGTTATCTTTTAGAACAATTCTATATATTTTATTTATTTAATAAGTATTATATATACAATTTTCTCAATTCTCCTAATATTATTTATATTTTATTTTCTTTTAAATATATTTTTAAAATTGTTTACTTCAGGGAATAACGTTTCAACTCAAGTGAAACTTTCGAACAAGGGTTCCTTCTGAATTTGGGATTTTAGAAAAAAATGATATACATTATCAAAATAATAGTTTTATACTTTTCATACTTGGGATACTTTTCATACTTGAGTTAAACAGATTTCACTGCCTTGCATTTTCGTCATGCCCCAAAAATTGTAGAGAAATTATGTACCTTATTTTTATGTATATGAAAAGTGCTATTATAGATAACTCAATTTTCGTTTTTTACTTGATAATTAAGTAAAACCTTTAAATCAAGGCATGTGTAGAATGTCGTTCAGTACAAGTGCAACTTTCGAACACCTTAAAAGAGCGCGGTCGTTTTAGACTTCAACATGGTTTACATTTACTGCGACGTTTGGATACCAATTGTTGTAGTGTTCTGTGTTCTTACATTAATAGCTATTTTGCGAATTATTAAAATGCGTAAAATGCGTGCGCAGAACGCAACACTTGTCACTAGCGGTAAGCGAACTTCTATCTAAAATTGGTATACATTTAAAGTCCTTTCCCCCCTGATAGTTGATATTTTAGAGATAATATTTTACGGAATTTTACAGAGTGGATTTGAATGAAATCTTATCAAGAGTGCCACAAATAATTTTTGTCATTTGCGTTACTATTCAGATTAGTATGCGTAATCGCTGACATTTACTTTGAATTAAAATTTATTTATGTTTGACATTAGTTCATAGATTGCTTGTCTTTGACGTCAGTCCACCTTTAGGATCGCTATGATGCCACTTGTTAATAAATTGATTAGAATTATTTTAAATATAGAATTCGAGTGAAAATACTTATTAAAATGTTGTATTATAATTAGATTTGTACTTGAATAATTTTGGAGATTTTGGCATGTCATGTTCACTGTCGCACATGGCTATAGTGAACTTATATGCAATGATTTCAAATTGATGTTTCGATCTGGTTTTCATATATCTTCAATGAATCATAACAAGAGTTAAGTTAATTAAAAATGGCAGAAAATTATCCGAAATTCCTTATTTTATGAAAAACAAAAGTGAAATTACTATTTCATAAATTCTGCATAATAAATTTCTCAATAGATATTTAGAACGACTGTTATATTTTTATCTAGCATCGCAGTTTTGAAGCCTTAAACTTTGTCTTTAACAGCACCTATATTACTTTCTTTGAGTAAATATATATAATTTAAATGATTTGTTATTTACTTGAGCCTATAACTCATCAGCCGCCCCTCGTAAGATGCCACAGCGATCGAAGTTTAAAGAAAACTCCGGAGCTCTAATTATTTGAAATGCTTTGGGTTGTGATTTGGCCAAAATATAAATAAAACTTGGCTACAAGCGTAAAGCAGTATAAGAAATCAATTATTCTAATACAAATTGAATGGGATCGGTTAAATATGCAACATGGTTAATCATTGCATTTTACCTTTTTATTTCATTTAAATCAATAATACATACTTAACAAGTATATAAAATTGTACATAAAATAATAACACATTCCAAAAACCAACAATAATCTATAAACAAAAATGAAACAACTTCAAGTTACATAAAATGGCTTAAATCTAAAGACACTGAAGAAATTGTAACCATCAGATCACTGTCGTTATCATTTATCGCTGGCAAGGATGGGCCTGGCTTAAAAAAATTGTCCAACGTTGTTTGTCTTGCCTTGTCTATTTCGTTCTTCAGTGATTTATAACAGTTAATGGCTGAGTTAATTCCTGGAGAATCTTTCGACGTCAGGATCGAAATAGGAAAAGGCTTTTGATGATGTGTACGGAGAACGCTTAATTAGCTATTTTGAAAATTCAAATTTAAAAATATTTAACTTTGGTATTCTAAGGTTTCACAATAAATAAACATTTTAGCTAGTTCATAAATTAGATTGTTTCTGGCGATTATCTAAATTTCAGTTCAATTTGTTCTGTATATTTAAAAACATATATTTAAAATTCAGTTTTTGATTTATTCTCAATATCCTGCGAATCCAAAAGAGCTGATAACATTTAACTTGATTACATTAAACTATCAAGTTTATTTTATTGTTCATTCTACAAAATTGTCTAAAATGATGACTAACTGTTATTAAATACGCTTTAAGTTTTTTATTACCATCTTGAGAGGCCTCCGTGGAAATTTCTTTGATTGTTTTTACTGCTGTCGTCACGATACTGTGTAATTTAATAATTATGTTCTTATGTTGATCACAGTTGACGTCAGTAGACGTTGCGGTGTTTGGGATAATCTACATAAATAATGCTTATCGGTGGCGATACGAGATGGTCAAGTCTTTTATTGGTTTAACCCGATTCCACTCGGGCAGGCTGAGCCACTTGCTTTAAAAAAGAAATGCTTTTTTATACTTATTATAATCGATCAGGTAATTGGCAGTTGTAAATTTAGACTCCACTTTAGTATTTTATAGTCTACTGCGTGTTGGGTTAATCAATTCCTTAAAAGCCTTGACGTCACAAACATCTAGTTGGCTTTGCCATATCTTATCTGATAAATGCCAAGTTAGCCAACCGAATGCTTTAAAGCGTACGCAATAAACACCCATCGGATTTATTTACTCATCACCTTTAAAGAGATGCACAACGCGTAGTCCAAAAGTGAAATTCAACTAAAAATAAATGCAAATCAATCGAATTTATAGTCTTAAATAAATATATATACCTATATCATATATTCACAATGGCACACGAGCCCACCGACAAGGATCTGGAAATCTCCACAATTGTTCTGATCTGCTTGTTTTTCGTCGCTTTTACGGCCATGTTGACGGTCATCGTACGCAGCCTCATCAAAAAGCATAAGAATCAAAAGTGTTATTCCATCGACAATTGTTAGTTAGTTAACTTACCTTCATTTATAATGTTAAGAAACAATTAGCTATAAATTAATTTTGTGTTTGTGCTATGCAAATATTTATTTTTAAAGCCAATTAAAAATATGGAATATTTTATTACAAATTTTGTGTGTTTTTGAAATGTGGGAACGCTCGAAATATTTAAATATACGAGATCATAGAAAAGTATGCCATATTGTTTTATTTATAAACTAAACAAAAAATACATTGAGAACGTGTTAAAGAGTTAAACAATAAGGCATTCGTAAACAGTGAAATTTTGTTACAAAGAAAAACAAACAATGAAATGCTGATAAAGAAAACAAAATGAATTTCAACTGGAATATTACATTTATTGTGATTTTAAAATCTCTTATGCATATATTGTATTTCCTCTTGAGAGCATTTCTACTGACGCTTATCAATTTTGCCGACATTTTCATACTTGAATTGCTCGAATGCAAATGTTATTATTGTAGATAAGCTTTATTTAAATAAATACATTAAAAGCTATAAATAAAATATAAAAAATGACTTAAGTAGTAAATTCAAACACTGCTTACTGCAAGTAAACTTTAATGAACACAATTATTTTTAATAAATCACTTCATTATTTCTCATAGGTAAATTTTACATACAACATAGAAAACAGTGAGAACATTTTTCTTTTTAATATTTTTTGTATTTTTCATATTATTTCTCAAAGTACTGAAAAGTTTTTAAGTCATTTCAAATGACTGTCAAGTATTCAACATTTTAAAGAACTTACTTAAGTGAATAATCAACATCGTATGTGAATTGCAATGATATTATTATGCCATTAATTTAATTTTAAATATGTATATGCAGAAAAAGATAATCTTTTTGTGAAAAAGTTTGGATTTTGTAAAGTTTACCAGTCAAGTTTTTATTTGTATGTTTCTTTTGTTTGAAAATACAAATTCCTAGAAATATGGAAAATTGCATTGTAAATTATACATTTGCAATATTTTTTTTGGTTTACCAATCTATTGTATTTTTTGATTTTTTGTTTCGTTTATTTTAAAGTTAAGTTATGAAATTTCATATATATATTTAGATAATTTAGTTGAATTTTAAATTATTCAACTGTTTGCCATTAGCAGTATTTTATAGAGTTTATGTTTGAATTTTTTTGTACAGTTTTGTAAAATGTAGTTGGATTGTAAAATATACAATTATAAGCAATTTGCAGTATATTTTTTTTTTTAGATTTTCCATTAAACTTAGTTTTTTTATTTTAGCTTCAGAAATTACTTATATATTCATAGAATATTTGGTTGGATTGTAATTCATACAACTGTAAACCATGTCCAGTGATACGGAGCTGATATCAGTCTGAAGCGCACTGATTATCTCATTATTTATAATTATAGATTTGGTGATAATTATGTTTATAACTAGCCTCAGATTGTTATCATTTGTGCAGAAAAGCTTTCCATTCAACCTGAGCAAATAATGAGAGAACGTAACTGATTCAAGTTGAGAGTAAAATTCCAACGTAATTTTGCTTCTGTCTGACGCTGACAAGCACTTCAAATGACAGTTAAATCAGTTATCAATGGCTAACACACACACACATACTCACACAGACACAATCTATAAATATGTTTACGTTCCTCTTTGCGGCTGAAAAGCGTTGTACAGTTTGTAGGGGGTCCTTGTGTCCTTTATCCCAGTGCTGGATGACACAAGCAACTGTTTTTGATTTTCACATTTATTTTCTATTTGTTTCTTGCATTGATTCTTATCGGCAACTATTTTTCTTTCGATTGCATCTCTTCTTATTCTTGGACACTTGGCTTAGTCCAGTGCCAAATCGCATTGCAGTTGTTGGTTGCAAATCATTTGCATTTGTGATTTGGTTGTGAGCTGAACGGATATAGCCATGTACATATAGACATATGAATACAAAACGAATTCGAAAAGTGCTGCTAAATGGACTATCTGGCATTTCTGCCACTGGCCGTGCTAATACTCATAGTTGGCATAACACTCGCATTTATTCATTTCATTCGCTGTTGTTTCGTTGCCAAAATGTATGTGCAACTCTTTCGACAAGCCGGTGAGTAATGTGGCATTTACTATCTGAATCAGTGTCCGTGTGATGAGTGTATTTTTTATACATCTACCAAAGAGAAACGTAGATCTAACAGTGCAAAAATCTGGATAAATTTACTTTTTCCGACCGAAACAATCCAAACTTGAACTATAAAAAATAATTCAAAGAGACCAAGTTTTTTGGACTCTCTGAAAAATATTCTAGACTTGTGGCCTTTTAGTAGACTGTGCAAAAAATCTTTTGGCGCCAAAAGTAACTCTCCTTATTATTACTATTTCTAAAACCAGGGTTTTCCCATTCTTAATTCAAATGTAGATGTTTTCTAAATTTTAGAAAAAGGTTTGTAAAGTTCCGGTTATTGTTACTTGCATTATTATTAAACATGACTTTTTGTTTATATAATTTAATTCTGATCGTGACGAATTTTGTGCTTTTTGAGTAGCATACTTTTTGAATAGTGTAAACAAAAAGTGCAATTGTTGATTGGTTACCAATAAACTATAATTTATAGATATATTAAAAAGATAGAGAGACTGCGAAGGGGCAATTCATTATTACTATTATCATTTATTTACGTTGTTAACTTCTGTACAATTTGGATTGCCTTTGCCAATGAGTCACGGCTGCGGTTATCAGTTTGATAAGGCCTCGTTTCTCGGGAATCACAAGTTTTGGTTCAATGCACAATCTATGTTTATATTTATAAATCTGTGATAATACAATTAAAATTGTAAATCAAAATTGTTAAATTGTTAGTTCCGCATAATCGATGAATAATTTTGCATACAAATGATTCATCGACTTACAATTGGCGTATTTCAAAAAACCAGTTTTTGTCTCAGTTGCAGTTCTCAGTTTGTGTTAGTCGAAAGCATTTCTGAGGCACATGCAGATTTTGTTATGCTTAGTTTATACTATATATTAGAACTATAACTGTAACTATAACGAAAGCTATACTTGTCTAAATGCAAATGATTCAAATGATCAGGAACACAATGATCAATTTTCACTCTCAGCTTATGTTGCCTGTGTTTTTGTTTTTATAGTGGCTTGAATAGCTTGTGTCTGGTGTATTTAACTCTGTATAAGTTGTAATTGACATCGAGTAGTAAATACTTGACTTTTTAGTTTTAGCTAAGTTCTGAATTGTCATCAAAACTGAGTTGCACAAAACTCGAATGGGATGTCGGAAAATGTCCGCAGATGTATATATAATATAAGAAAAACTGGTTTTTTACAAATGATTTTTACAAATTTCCCCATTAATGCTGTTGCACATCGCTGCTAGGGTATTTCCAATTTTATAGCATCACTGCGAGCAATCTATAAGCGGGATTGCCAATCAAATATTGTCTCAGTTGCAGTCGTCGCGTTGTTTGCATTAAACGCGTTTAGCTTTTTTTTTCTCGGCTGGCGCTTGGAACTATTATTATAATGTCAAATTTAAATAAGATACCTGTGTACATTGGCGATGAAACTGTGTACGTCAACGATTTTGAGAGAGGCCTCTTTAATCATGATGAATCACATATTCATAAAAATCAATTCGCGACGGGACTTAATGTTTTTATGTGTCTTGTTATTCTTTTTTTTGTTTTGATAATTGTTTGCGCTTGTCTAAAATGCTGTGTTAGCTACTGTACGCGTCGTCGACAACAGCCGCAACATGCTGAATTTTGTAATAGTAAATATCTAAGATTTTATTTTTGTATATATTTATAAATAAGAAATGACATTATTATGTTTTTTAGCGTGTTCTATTTATAATTTGAGTAATTGGATTATACAAGTGTTTGTGGGCTGTGTAAATAAAGCTGTAGTTATTTATTCAATGACCTGAACGCAACAAGCAGAAATTGATATTTGATATATATATAATCAATAAGTTGTGTTTTTATATGCTCTGATGCCGAAAGTACAAACGTATATTGAATCCCACAACCAATCTGCCTGAAATACCTGATTTTGTCAATCGATAAAGTCGTGTATCTTAGACAATTTCAAAGCTAGAAAAGTTACCAATCTGTGAAGGTTGATTATTTGGAATTCCCATAAAACATTGATGCAAAAATTAATTGTTTCTTTGCCACCTATTATTAGCTGGTATTATTATTATTATCACGGCAACGTTTACTCTGTGTGGTTTGCGGCTATCAGATCCACTTACGCGACATCAACAAATTCGATATTGGTAACACGCTGTTGCAAATATCTGCACAAGAGATAGCTCAGCAACATGTTATCAGCCTGATAAGGATGACTGGCTACCAAAAATTTGATGGTAACTGCATAGTTGAGGTACTGGCTAGAAAACAATAAACTGAGAAACCAAAGACAGCAGAACGCCTCCTTCCTCATAAAGAATATGTATGCATTGGTTATCTGCAAGCTGATCATAAATGAGCATAATGTAAACATTTTAAATACAGGAAGCCAAGCCAGGCCGGAAATAAACACAGAGCACTGTAAACAAATGTCTCCGAGATTCATTTCTGCAGAAGCTAATAAAGCACATAAGAAGATAAAATAAATAGCAAATTTATTTATACTTTCAAGAAAACGGAGTAGAATTCGAACATGGTAGCACAACGGATCAATTCTGACATAATTGTGTTGGTTTTATTGACCAAAAATCACCTAACCTAACCCAAACTAAATAAATTCTCATTTGTTGAAACTTATTGGCAAAATGGATTAAACTTGGCAACTTGGCGGTTGATGCTGATCACGAAGAGAAGATTTTGTTCTGCGAGTCTCGAAATTTGTTTTTATTTATTGTCGCGATTGTTTGCATTGATTGCGATTGTCGGAATATGTCGGGAAAATGGTCTGATGGTGTGTCCCTTCAGCAATTTTGATAGTCATTCCCAATATTTTTGGAAATTGTTTAGTTTCAGGTATACATATAAAAGACCATAGCAGAATGGAACCAACATCAATTTCACTATTGAGCATATGAATATTTTGTTGTTTCTCTTGAGTCCATAGAAAAATGACGCAAATTAATCAAATGAGTGAGCAATAACTCAATAAAGGTATTCAATGTCTGAGTATCACTTGTCATACATATATTTTGGTCGATTGGGTACATTTTTGGAGTTCAACTAAAACGTTCAAGATGAATGCATCTATTTTTGAAGTCGAATACTGGTCATATATGACACAGCGACTGCATCTCGATTTGAAATGTGTTGTTAACGAAATAATTACATTGTTCATTCTTAGTGCTTTGGTCTTTGCGTATGCCCGGCTTATAGACAGAGATTTTAACGAACCTCAAATGACGAAAAAGCAAATGAAATTGAGTTCAGTGAAAGTGATGTCATTATAATTATGGCTGGAAAAATTGAGATATTTTTTAAAAAAACCAAATTGTTACCTCAAGCAAACCTTTACAAAGTGGATATGTAAGAAATATTCTAACTTAAATTGAAATTGAAAATGACATTTTATTTGTCGCTTATCGTGAGAAGCACTTCAGTTTATTAACACTGCTCTAATAATAATTATTTTCATAAGGTAATTAGACTCATCAGTTTGTGTGGCACGCATTAGCTCAAATAATGTAGAGCAAAAGTGAATTAATTCTGTGGATTATCCAACTATATAGTTGGATTCAGTTCAGTTAACTGGGAGCTGTCTTAAAATGCAGAACTATACAATACGAACTGTTACAAGTTGCTCAGTTCATATATCTCCAATTCATTGACGTTTGTCTACATTTTCAAGATGCTCCTCAAGATGATCAGCTATGGCCTCGGCTTCGGTTTGGTTACATATTTCGTGCGTTATAAGCGTCGCCAGCGTCGTGTTAAATCATTAACCGATCTGAGTAAGTTGTAGGACAATTATCTCTGTTCCTTGAATACAATTTTAATGTAATCGAAACAAAATATACTGATAGAAATTACATTAAAAGCAAATATCGATCCAAAATAAACAAAATAATAGAAAATGAAATTAAAAATATATTAATTAAATCTCTTAATATTTTAAAAATTCAGATCAATCAAATGAACATATAAATATATCAAATAAAAGAAAATTAAATTTAATATTCCAGCTATGCAGTTACAGCTATAAGCTATAAAGTTTCAAGAATATTTTACGCTTCAGGACTAATAATATGCTCCTATTGAAAACATTGTGAATCTTTTTCAAAACTAGAATTAACTACAAGATTTGTAACTGTGTAGTTATCTTTATGATTGTTAAGATTGCCCCTATATTAATTGCCCTAGAAATTGCCACTCATTGAATGACTTGCGCATTTTGTTATCGCTAGGCCAAGTTATGCATTTTGTTAGTCGTTTTCCGCTTGTTGCGCAGTGCGTATTGTTTTGGATTTCGGTTTTTAAAATAAGCCATGGATAATACCGGTCTTGCGTGGATACTGTTTTTCACATTTGCCATATTTTTTTTAACCTCTTGGGCGGTATTCTTGACAAGAGGACGCAAACGTCGATCGGAGCTCATAGCGGGTGCAGGTCTGTCAAAGTGTTTTTTTTTTTTATAACTAATATATATAAATACGCCAAATGTTTGATAACAACACATTAAATATATGTCTTTTGTAATTCTAATCCACTATTTCTATTCTATAACATATTGCTTATCAGTTGAACTGATAACTTTGAAAATGTTCACACAAATTTGTTACCTGCACTTGAACACTTCATTCATTCGTTCATTGCGTGCTCATTTTAGACAAAAATTGAAGTTTCGATATTATGTTTAATTAGTTTTACCATTGCATCTCTTTAATCGATCTATCTTGTGTTTTAAATTCGCCCAGAAACTAAAGCTAAAGTATTCCAATAATAGAATTCTACTTCCAAACTATGGTAAATACTTTGGGCTTATTTCATATCTTTAACTGCTTGTATGTGTTATCAGTTAAGTATTTTGATCAATTTATTTTGACTTCAGATTCTGAATCATTTTAAAAATCGGTTAGTTCTAGTTTTGGGTAAATAGACTGTCTTTCATTCTTGCCAGCTCGAAAGTAGGAAAGAATTTCATTTTGAGTGTTCTACTTATTTAGAGTGGTTGTTTGATAACTGATTATTCTATTACCACCTTTGTTAGTGGCCTAATTAACGAGAAAAACACTTGACAGACAAAGAATCAAACGCTGAGGTGAAAGTGTTCGACTCTGAGACACTCAGTATATTGTGTAAAAAATATATATTCCTCTATCATTTTATTTCGACCATTGTAATTCTTTGAAAAATTTGTATAAATGGAAAAATTCTGTGCTTTTGCTAATTAGAGCACCAAAACGTACACTTAGAAAATGGAAACGAAAACATTTTGGACACGCGAGAATATCTTTAATATTACATTGTCAGCTAACTGATATTATGCATATCAAGTGGAAACTGCTTACAACAGGGTACAACAAAAATATACGTTTTCGTTAATCAAACTATAAACTATAAAAATGTTTACGAATATTTTGAGTGCAGTTTGTAAACTGCAGTTTTCATTGTCAACCCAAAGACTGCGTTTGGCATATATACGAATAATGTCAGGTGGAATTGTGATTGGTTTATGTTTGGCATTTATAATGTATGTGATTATCACAGTTGTGTTATATATGAAACGGGATTTACAGGCATCCTCAAATGTGGGCCATGTAATAAGTGAAGGTTAATTAATACTAAATCTAAATGAAAATTGTAATTAATTATATTTTGATTCATTTTTATTTGCAGCGCCAGTTGTGGTTACATCGGCCACACATACAGCGCCTGGCGGTTATCCCGTTACACAGATACCAGCCACAACCTATCAGCCTAACACCTATGGAACCCCATATCCTGCACAGACCACCGGGTAAATACTAGATACCACACATATAATGTAAATACAAGCCACTAATGTGTATTTATATATATATATATATCTCCCCTTAGTAACGTGAGCGTGCAGCAGATGCCCATGCCCATGCCTGGAGTACCAATGCCTGGGTAAGTTATAACAGCACTTTACACATATACATTCAGCAGGTGCACTTACTATTTATTTCTAATTGCAGCATGCAGCCGAATGTGGTAGCATATCCGCCCATGCCAATGCCGCAGCCAGGAGCTGGAGCTGCGAACATGAATCCCCCCACATATGACATGGCCATGGCTAATTCTGGGCCGAGCGTTATGCCCGGTGGCTACGAGAAGCAAAGCCCCTACAATCCCAACTATGCCCAATAGAAATTAGAAAATCGTGTGGCAATTGCTTGGACAATTGTCTTGTGCGCACTTTCGAGCTGTTTACGGAACTTTTACGAATGTACGCTTCAGAGTCGCTTAATAACGTTAGCTATAATTTGTAATATTGTTATACTATTTGCTTGCGGTATTATGGGGCATCCGAGAAGTACCAAAGTGAAGAGCCATCTTTTTGTATTCATTGTATTCAAAACACCATAAATATTTTATAGTCGTTCACGCATAATTGTGATGTAAATAGATTAAGTTCGATCTATTTTTAATTTATTTATCATAAGAAAAAAAAAAAATAATAAAAAAAAATAATAAAATTGTGAAATGCACATAACTATGTAAAGTCTTATGCATATTTCTGTGTATTTTCATAACTCAACTCTACACCAGGAAATAGTGTATTTATTTAGTCATTGTTGTTGAGAGACAATTCATAGCTTTACTTTTGATGTATTTAAATGGCTTCTACCAGCTTGTTTTTGTTAAAGCGATGCATTTACTTAATCGAAACGAATTGATTATAGATCTGTTAGTTACGACTTATTCAAACCAATAAATTATATAAATAAGTCATCAGTTCTTAGCTTCAAATTTTGTATTAATTGTTGCCACTTTGTAAGGGGTTGATTTGTGAAATGAGCTACAATTTGCTGCTGCAACTTGCGCCGCTGATGCTGCAGCAGTTTAATTTGACTGCTGCTATGCCGTTGCCGCTGATATATCTGCCACAAAATGAAAGTATTGGCCACGATATTGTTAACGTTTTGCTGCCCACTTGGCTTAAGGATATTTTGAGCTAATGACGCCAAAGATCGACGGGTGACTTTTGAATACTCGTGCGTTGATTTTGTGTAACCAATAAATGGATTGTAACAAAAGCCAGTTTTTATTTTAATTAAGAAGTAAATTCTTATATTAATAATCAAGATGCGATCATGACTAAGGTCACCAGGCAAAAGTCAACATAATCGGACCATAATATAGCTGGCATAGGAACAATCGGTCGAAAGATGAATTTGAAGGTGAGGGATCGACTTACGTGCCACACACTCTGCTACAATTTAATTACACAAAAGAAATCATTTTCGTATGATAATTGTTTCAGGAAAAGTGACAGATGAAATATAGAGGTATTTATTTACCAAAATTCAATTTAATTTTATAAATTTACTTGCAATCGTTTGACCAGAAATTGATTTGAACGATTGTATACCAGATGTGACTGGAATAGATATACAGATAAAGCCTTTAAAGGAAAGACTACGTTCTGAGAATTAAGTAGTCTGAAGTCCAAAGAATTTAATTATTTGGGTATCAAGAAAAATATAGGAATTGCGAACAACGAAGAAATACCTCTATGGTTATGATAATTATATTTGTTTTCTTTTTTATGGAGAGGACCAAATTCCAAAAAAAAAATCTTGATATTCGATAAAACCGGAAATATATACGTTGATCCTAATTAATAATATACTCGCATATACTTACAAGGGTCAGAGATGCTTCCTTCTGCCTGTTACATACTTTTGCAAAAAACCCCATTCCACATTACCTTTTTACACATTTTTTATGGCTTCAGGGAATTAAAATTATTTTACTTTTTACGTTTTTAATTTAAGTTTTTCTTTAATCAGATTTCAGTTTAGTTTGATTTGATCATAAATTTGTGTAAATTTAAATGCATTTGGTTGTTGCTCGTACTGCAACAACTGCCAACATTTTGTGTTCGTCTTGTTGGCACCTAGAGCCACCCTCCTGTGCAGGTGGCGCTAAGTCATGCCACTCAAAGTCAGCGGTGCAAAGTTTGCCGGCAGTTCAGCATCGCGTTTGGCGTTGACAACTTCAGCAAACAATATTTTTATCGTTCTCTCGCCACACTTTCAACAGTTTTATGCGTTTTTTTATGTCACACCCAATCCCGGAGATGGAAAAAGAGGTTGGAGCAAAAAATGCGAACGCAGCTTGAAATGTCCGACAACCGCAAATAATTCCCATCCCAACCAAATGGGCAAGTATTACTATAAAAACTACAAGAATAATTTATTAATGAATGAAAAATTCTCTGCAATTATTAAACAATTTTTCAAATTAATGAATCACACTTTTTTATAATAAAATAAATCATTTTTGTGTGTGTAATATTTCATTTGTTTTTATTAAAAACCATTCGCAACATTTGTTTAAAGCTTGTCAACTATTAACATTTAAATATTTATTATTCATATTTATTATGTGCGGACAATGGCTAACATATTTGTTTCTGGTTAGCAATTATTGTGAATAATTAATGCAAATATTAAGGTTCTTAGGCGGTGTTTCAGCTTTTTGTAAATTTGATAGCATATAGCTAAAGGTGTTAAAGCAAATGCATATTTCGTTAAGTATACTTTCGAAATGCCATAGGGACAACCTATATTAAAAATGTCGCTTAAATATTAAACAGGGCAAATATTTTGTTCCATTGCCAACTCAAAATAAACGCTTAAAATATACATGAAGAAAAAATATAAACTGAGTACGTTCCAGTCGGGCATAAATGACTGTGAAATACTTTTATGTCATTGGAGGAAAAATAATTTAAGAAAAAATAAATATATCATATATCTCGGTGGTTTTTTAAATCAAATAGATGTGCCAACAGGTGGTTAATATTCCGCTTCCAATTCCTGTTTTTGGTTTAAAAAATTAAATGAAATTTCTCTAATTACATTTTATGTAAAACTATATGCGCAATTAAAGATTTATAGAATGAAGAAGTTACCAATTGCCTTTCGATTTGTATAAGAAAAACGCAAATATAAAATTTAATTGCGAATTAATAGTTGCTTCAAGTCAGTAATCTAAATTTATAAATAATTAAATGGTTTATCTCTATATCTGCCGATGGACCAGATTTAAAAGTGATCTCATAATTGCGAATGAAATTGAAAATTGATGTTTTCATTTACGAAAATGCAAAAATATAAACCGAAATGCAAATATACGGAAATAAAGCGTATAAACAAATATAAGAATAGTAACAATTACAAATTACATAAACAAAATTGCTCATTCAAATTGGAGGCATCAACCATAAATACGTTTGAGGACGGTAAAAACTGTGTAAGTCGTATTGAGTAAGTTCTGAAATAGTTCCAATGTAATCGGTCGAATGTTGCCCAAGAGTATCTGAATGTAATATGAAAATAATAAAATCAAAGAAATATTTAATAGTCAATTCGTCATCAATCACCGATGCTGGCCGCTGTGCACGTAATATCATAAATAACAATTTTTTGCGTACTGCAATTTCGAAGGTGAACCATTCCGTGTCGTATGCCGCGACAGCAATGGCCAGGTTCTGCAAATGTAAGGTGAACTATTACTTAGCTAAATCCTAAGGCTCCAGAAGCAATGCTCACCTGCTCCCTTAGCTCATTGGCGAACCAATAGAGTGCCAAGATTTGTGCGAGTATCATGTTGATATACGCACTCACAATGACAACATGCGCCGTTGAGTCCACCTATAGAGAAATCACATGAGATAACTCATTCACCAACGGCCATTGAGAACCCGTTGAGCAACACTTACAAACATGAGCATAAAGAGCAGCGCACAGAGCAGCGCTCCAAAGGCCAAAAACTCGATGAGAAATATGTAAGTAGTTAGATTATTGATGTTCTGTATATAACTGAATGAAGTTGGATTAGTAGCACACCGAAAAAGCAAAAGAAAAAAATTGCACCCATTTTTTAGCTTACTCAATGATCCGCTGATGATAGATAATGCATTCGTTTATTTCCTTGGAGAGCTGCGTCTTTGTTAGCAGCCTGCTGCCCAGGGAACGCAATCGATGCTGCAGCGCCTTGCACATCACAATGCCAAACATGATGAAGGCCACACACAGACTGGTATACGGAATGTACATGCAGCAGCCCATCGGAGTGATGAGCATGTGAAAGCAGAACCACACTTGATAGTAGGGCGTCGCATACTCATTTATTCCCGGGAGTTTGCTGCCAAATGGCAACACTGCGGGAGCCCCAAAGAAATTGCATTTACAAAAACATTTTACACTACACTTAGAAAGAAATTGCGCTTAAATTTCGAAACTCGGACTAAAATGAAAATAGCTCTGAAAACTAAAAAGGTTTTTTTTTAATATTTTCTAAATAAACGAAAAAAATTCTTAAAGTTAGAAAGGTGTTTCGCATTAATAAACCCATAATTATGTATAAAAAAAACTTAATGAAATTCCGAAAATAGTAAAGATATTTGCTCCCTCATAATTACAATTGCCGCCAAAATTCAGATTGCTTTATTTAGTAGATAAAAGTAATATCAAATCGATAAAACACTCTTTAAAAAACAAAGGCTGATACCAAAGTGTTACAGCTTTTGCCTAAGTTATAAGGAATCTACATATCTTATTCTATCATTAAATTTAGTAACTATTTTTGCCACACAAAGAGAGTCTATAAAATCAGCTTCGTAACTCATTGAAAACTCCAAGTTGTGTAAAATAATTTCAAACTATTTTTTATTTCTATATTTTAACATCCCAGCAACGAGAACACTTAAGCTTTAATAAAAACTAAATTGCTCTGAAATTAAGAAAAGCGCCCTGAAAACTACAAATCTGTTGTAGGTCTTCAAATATAGTTTCTAACTATTAAACAAAATTGTTCTTAAAACCAGAAAGGCGTTTTTTCTATATTTTCAGAAATACATATATTAATACTAGAAAATATTTCTAAAAAGTATAATTACAAACCCCTATTTTTAGGAAATCATTTCTATCTAAGATAAATATTTATTTAAAATAAGAAGTAACTTAAAAAATTAAAAAATCTAACTTTAATTGCAGTTCGCTTAAGGTTTGTACGTTACAATATATAAAAGTTATTAAATAAATATATAATATATATATATATGTATATATATATATATATATATAAATATCAATAAAACAAACAATTTGTTACAAATTTAAAAAGTTAAATAATTGTTTTCTGAATTTATCTATTGATAAAATCTGTTTAAGACTTGTACGTTTTCAATACATTTTAAAACGTAAAATTTCTTTTTTGATTTTTTGATTTCGAAAATAATATTTTGAGCTGCGAACTAAAGGCGATAAACTCCGTTCTTCGTATTCTTAAAGGTATATTTCAAAGTGAGTCAGAGCTTACCTCGCTCATTGGAGCTGAGTGGATACAGACCAAAGCCAATGCAGGTGAGCAGGCCAAAGAACAGATTGCCGCGTGCCATAATCTGACCCTGTCGATTTACCCTTGACAACAGCTGTGATATATAGGGATCATGCAGTCGCCTCAGCTCATAATAGTAACATCTGAGATCGTTTATCAGCTGCACATAACTCTGCTGATCGTACAATAGCAAACATGCACGCAGCAACGTATTTATCCAGAGCACCAGCATATATGAGTTGCGTATGATGCCAATGAGGCCCTCGTTGGTGGTGAGTATGTAAAGCAGCTGGGTGAGGACGTGGATCGTGGTCAACGTGAAGCAAACGTAGCGCATCACATTTTTATCGTAGAGTAGCGCCCAGAAGCGCAATATCTTCACGTTCATATAAACTAATTGTATATCCTCGAGCATATTTCAAAGCACCGCCAAATACTCAACTATTGTCCTCATAGCACAGACAGTGCACTTTTATAGGGCCTCCTGTAATTGATATTATATTATTTGCTTGACTCATGTTGCACCTTGCAACGGCTCCCAAGCAGAATTTCTGATGCAATAATTCCCATTTTATACTCTGAATCATTAAAACAATGGGTGTTCAGAGTTTAATGGTTTTGTGCAAGTGTATGGCCAGGCAGAAGGAAGCACCTTTGTCCCTATCATCGATCATGATTGATATAGCTATGTCCGTCAAGAGAGAGAGAGAGAGAATACCCATTACAGATCAACTTTATTTCATATCAGCACTTATCGATAACTGCCAGCGTTTCGGGAATATCGATTTATATCGATTCCCGATAGCAATAAAAGCCACCAAAACGCATTTGAGTGTGCAAAACTTCATTAAAGGGAAATTTTGTATGAAAGCTAGAACAATAAATTTAACAGCTGGTTTCAGGGTATATCGTAGTCGAGCATTCTTATATGATTATATTTTTTGCAATTGCCAAAATTGCCGCACATGATTTGGCATTATTTTTGATTACCTATGGGAGCAGTGAAAGCTGTGCAATTTTGGATTACATTTATTTGCATTTCACTTGTGCGCTTTATCGATTACCCAAACTGAATGGACAGCTACATTGAGGAATATATGTATTGATATTTGTATGCGAGCATTTAGCAAATTATTTGCATTTATTACAGCCTTAACTGAACCAATTTACGTATACGGTATTTCAATTTAGCTTTTCTTTATTTATTTTATTTTATTTTCATTATTTATAATTTTTTCATCGCATTTAATTTTGATTCTATTCAAATGCGATTATCAGACTAGCTTTTTTAGAATTTGATTATGAATGGATATTTGGTTGCATTGATAATTGTAAGCGTAATGTGCTAATGTAATTATAGACTATAAATTAACGTTTGTTTATTTAAAGCTTAATCAGTTCATTAGTGCAGTATTATTGAATATCTTTCATAATGTTATCTAGCTTTTGACACAATAATTGCAACAATATGGACAATATGGACTAAATATATGCAAATTACATTCTTAATTATATTTCGTGGCACACTATCAATATGTTTATATTTTTCTAAAAGATAACAAATGGTAATAAGTAATTAGATTAGATATTTCAGATATACCGAAATCACCATCAATTAGGACATGCATATTCAGTTTAGTTCAATTGAAGTTTTAGTTTTAGTCGTAACTTTGATAACTCCAGTTCATTATGGCTCTAATTGTTTTAACAGTTTTGCTAGTTGTAGTTGTGCTGCTCTACAAACTTTCTATGTGTCCATATAAGATATTTAAGGAGCGCGGAATTGTGCATGAGCCACCAAGACCATTTATTGGAAATGTTAAAATTGGGGTTTTGCTGGGACGAACTCCGTTGCTGAAAATGTTAATCGATGAGTATTGCGTGTTTAGGCATCACAAGATCCATGGGTTCTACAATATGAGGGAGCCGTTCTTTGTGCTGCACGATGTTGAGCTGATTAAGCGGGTGGGCATACAGCATTTCGATAATTTCACCAATCATCGCTCTCTGATGGCCATCGACTACATCGACTCAATTTTCGCGAAAGGCCTCACAGCCCTCAAGGACGATAAATGGAGGAAAATGCGCAACACTCTGACACCATGCTTCACGGGCAGCAAACTTAAGGCCATGTTCGAGCTGATTAATGAGTGCAGCGTGGAGGGTGTTCGTTATATTGAGTGTGAACTGCGGGGTGCGAACACAAACGAAATTGAACTGGAAATGAAGGATTATTTTGGTCGCTTTGCCAACGATGTGATTGCATCATCTGCATTTGGCCTAAAGGTTAATTCATTTGCGCATCAAAAGAATCAGTTCTACACACTTGGCCAGTCGGTACTGCATATTTCTAGACTGGCCATGTTCAAAGTCTTTCTATATGGCATAATACCTAACGTTATGAAGGTACATATTTTCATATATATATATATAATTATAATTATATAATTCGCCCTGCTATATTTAGAAATTCGCTTAACAACTCAAATCGCCCTGAAATGTTTTCTTGTTTTTAGAAACATTTTTTAAAATCTTAAGAAAAATTCGTGAGTTGAAACGCCAAGTCATCAAATTGTATTTTCAAATACAAATTTTTGAGCTTATGAAATCTTAAACAATACAAGAAACATGGAATTTAAAAACTTATCATTGAATTAAAAAACATCCTTAGTTTTAGAAATATTATTTTGTAATTAAGTGAAATTGCTATTGGCGTCAAAATAATTGCGATTTTCTAAATTTCCAGGCGTTTTTTTGAGTGTGCAGATTTATGGCTATATTAATTTTTAACTTATTTACAGTGCTTACGCGTCAAAGTGTTTGACTCGAGAAAAGTCAACTACTTTATTAATTTGGTATTTGATGCCATGAAATATCGCGCGGAACACAAAATAATTCGACCCGATATGATACACTTGCTGATGGAGGCGAAGCGTCAGTTTCAGCAGCATCGTCAGAATGAAATTCCACCGAAATCGGGGGAAGAACAGGCTGAGTTTAACGATGAGGATCTATTGGCGCAGTGTTTGTTGTTCTTCATGGTGGGATTTGATGTAATCTCGACTTGCCTATGTTTTCTCACCTATGAGCTCTGCATGAATCAAGAGGTGCAATCAAAGTTGTACGACGAAATTTCGTCAGTGGAGGAAGAGCTGCAGGGTAAGCCCCTCAACTATAATATGTTGGCCAAAATGAAGTACATGGATTCGGTCATATCGGAGTCATTGCGCCTGTGGCCGCCAGCTTTTAGCCTGGATCGAGAATGTGGCAAGGATATTGATATGTTTGATGAGAACAACGAACTGATTGTGAAGTTCAAAAAGGGTGACATTATAAATATTCCCATTATTGCATTACATCGTGATCCGCATTATTTTACGGATCCCGAACTTTTTAGCCCAGAACGCTTCTCAGATGAAAATAAAGGGAATATAAAACCCTTTACGTATTTGCCTTTTGGTCTAGGACCACGTGGTTGTATTGGTAAGCAAACTTGTCAGCACAATTGCAAGCATTTGATTAATTATAATTTATTTTCAGGCAACAGAATGGCACTGATGGAGGTAAAATCCATTATCTACCATTTAGTGAGCAAATTCAAGTTAGTACCAGCAAAGAAAACGGTTAAGAATATGATGCAAAGCTTAAACGGTTTCCATATGCAGCCCAAAGAGAAGTTTTGGATCAGGTTTGTGACCAGAGAAGGTGCTTAGTGTTATAAGTTCAAGTAATGCCTGTAATTATAATGTTCCATATGACAATAAATTGCATTATCTATAAAAAAAATAGATAAGATTACCGTCGAGTGTCGATAAACTCAAGTACGAAAGTTCAATTAGAGTTACATATACAAATGATATGAATTCAAATCAGTTTGACTTGTTAATGATTATCAATGTCTGAGTGGTAACATTACTATGTTCGTATATAAAATCAAAGACCATTAAGTAGTAAATGAAAAAATGAAAGCTTAAATTAAAAACTTCCTTAAAAATTAGAAAAATGTTTTGGTTTTTAAAAAAATTTTAAAATATGAAAAAAAGTATTTTAATAGGGGTATTTTTCAGAAATATGTATCTAAATAATAGACAATAAATATATAAACAATAAATAAAAAAAGTAGAAATGCTAATTAATTTTTTTGTAGAAAAAAATCTATTCTAAAATTAACAAAATTGTAATTAAGTTTGACCCCTCTACTTTTATGTGGGGGTTTAATTGTTGTCTGATTTAGAGGCCCCAGTGAGCAGTTACTCAAAAATCGTGTTTTTTTCAAGCTAAATTAAATGAATTTATAATTTAATTGTATGTGTGAAATCTTAATTTATTTAATAAGAATATAAGTAATATAAAATACGCTCTGGAAATTGTAGTCTCAAGAAGAGAAAGACACAATTTTCCGATTTGGAAATATACTATCATGCCTTGCAAATTTCAACTGTTCGTTCGATATTATATCGTTCTTTTCAAAATGATATGATATCTATATTATATATGACAATAAAGCATTCACGAAATGCACAGATAACACATTGTGGACACAATAATTTCCAGTAGAGTTCATTTTGTGTGTCCGCCCACATCTTTATAGCCTAGCTATAATATAATGTTGTTATTCACCGCTTGAGTACGAATTATTGATTTACCGCCGATAAATCTTAAATTTCCTTCTCTTACTTTTTTTTTCGAAGAAAAATGTAGTATTATGTTAAATGAAATAAAGTGTGAAATGCAAAAACAGATAATTAGAGAGCGAACCGGCAACCAGGCGATTTAAGAGTATGCTGATCTGTTGAAACTACAATTATACCGGTTGGAATATTTATTTTGGTAGCGTTTAATTTTATTTCAAGGTTACCTCAAAGAGAGTTCTAACGAAAGAGCGACTATTAGTGCATGTTAGATAGTAAGGCAGAGGAGAGCGAGAGCGTGAGAGAGGGATAAAGAGGGAGCAATAACAAATAAATATTCATAGAGAGCAATATTATATATAGCTGTGTTATTGTTATTGCGGTAGTTCAGTAATAATCGAGCGCTTGACCGCGCTGGTGAGCAACACAGTATTTGTGGATATATATAGAACGCATATATAGTATTCAATCTAGAATCGCTTTTACAATAAACGAAATGTTATTGATTGTGGTAACACTTGTGGTCATCTTGTTGGGACTACTCTACAAATGGTCGACATCCACCTATCACAAATTTGAGGAGCGTGGTGTGCCCCATGAGAAGCCAAGACCTCTGCTGGGAAATGTACGCTTTGGTGAATTAATGGGTTCTGTTTCCCATTTGCGTAGGCAGCTTGAGGAGCATGTACAATTTCCGAAAGCTAAAGTTTATGGAATGTATTTCCTACGCGATCCCGTTTTTGTTGTGCGTGATTTGGAGCTAATCAGGAATATTGGCGTTAAGGAATTTGATCATTTTATGAATCACCATGCATCTGATAAGTTTGAGACGATCTTTTCGAAGAGTCTGGTGCAGCTGAAGAATCGCGAGTGGAGAGCGATGCGCAATATTTTATCGCCCACCTTCACTGGTATCAAAATGCGATCCATGTACGAGCTGATCAATGCCTGCTGTGAAGTGAGCGTGGAATACATTGAAAAGCAGCTGAAACAGGAAGGTGGCAATTCAATTGATCTCGAAATGAAGGAATATTGTACGCGCTTTACAAACGATGTGATTGCGTCAGCCGCCTTTGGCATCAAAATCAACTCGTTCGAAGAGAAAGACAACAGATTCTATAAAATTGGTCAGATCATGACAAATATTAATTTCAAGGCGATTGTAAAGAGTCTCCTTTTTACATTTCTACCATGGCTTATGAAGGTACAGTAAAAAAAACGTTAAAAAAGAGAAAAGTATATATTTTTTAAATTATCTTGATTTTTTTGTTTAGATTCTACGCGTCACCTTGTTGGATGAAAAGAACATTGACTTCTTTAGGAACTTGGTCTCTAATGCGGTTAATTATCGTGTGGAGCATAAGATTATACGGCCTGATATGATCCAATTGCTTATGGAGGCCCAACGCAAGACAAACGAGGCGGAGTCCGGTAAAAAGTTCACGGACGATGATTTCTTGGCGCAGTGTCTGCTTTTCTTCTTTGCAGGCTTTGATACGGTCTCCACCTGCCTATGCTTTCTCACCTATGAATTGTGCATGAATCCGGAGGTGCAAGCGCAGCTGTATGAAGAGATTCTATCGGCAGAAGAGCGACTAAATGGAAAACCATTGGATTATGATACTCTGATGCACATGAAGTATCTGGATATGGTTGTATCTGAATCATTGCGCAAATGGCCGCCGGTAACAAGAACGGATCGTGCCTGTAATGCAGATATCGATTTGCGTGATGAAAATGATGAAATTGTGGTCTCCCTAAAAAAGAACGATCAAATATTTATACCCATTTTAGCTTTACATTACGATCCAGAGCATTTTGCAGAGCCGGAAAAGTTTATACCGGAACGGTTTTCAGACGAAAACAAAAATGATATAAAACCTTCATCTTATTTGCCTTTTGGCATTGGACCACGTAGTTGCATTGGTAACAATGGCAAATAATGTATTTTGAAACGGTTTCTTATCAAAACTAATTCTTTGCAGGCAACCGAATGGCTCTGATGGAGGTCAAGTCTTTAGTCTATCATCTGCTAACCAAGTTCCAACTGACACCGGCTGAGAAAACTTCAAAGGATATGATGGGCGACATATTGGGCTTTCAGATGGTGCCCAAGAACAAGTTTTGGGTTAAATATGTGCCGCGGCAAACGGATGTGAAAAGCTCATAAGTGCTCTTTGCACCTCTAGCTTTTGGCCAGCTTTTCTTACATTTAATAATAATACAAATTGCTTCCGCAACGTTATAATAATAACACGAATTATGTTTCCAACTTTATAATGTTTATTAATTGGGATTTGCATTTGTGCAAACGACAACAAAAACGTAAACAATGTCGATGAGCGAGAGCGATACGACTAAATTTGACAGCAGCTGACGTCAGATCAGAAAGAGCTTTTTAGAGAGCAAGAGACAGAGAGAGAGAGAGAGGGAGAGAGAGAGAGAGAGAGAGAGAGAGAGAGAGAGAGAGTGAGAGAGAGAGAGAGAGAGAGAGAGAGAGAGTGAGAGAGCTTTGATTGCTATGGGTGTGGCTAATAATGCTCTATGCTAAAGTGCGTATCTAAGAGCAACAAATGCTATATAATTGTGCAATTTTTTGAATTCTTTACATTTTACCTTCATTATTAGTATTTACAAATTGTCTTTATCAACATTCTCTGGATGTATTAATATCATTTGCTTGAAAATTCATAGTAATTCACCTTTCAATTTGAAATGAGAATTCGACAAAATCAAAATAAGTACAATTTAATTTAAACTTAAGGATTGATCGCCTTAAATTGCAATTAATTTTGTATGTTATACATACCTACATATTAAGCCGTCCCTTTAACTATTCTTAATAGCATAAGTGCTGCAGATAACGTAATTAACATTCCAAGTTAAAGTTTCTTTGGCAACACATATCTGATGCACTTTGAGCGAATTAATCAACTGGTTTTCTAATTAAAACTTTTTTCTTTCTGCTCTTCAAAGTGAATTCGCATACAGAGCTCAATGCAATTCATTAATCAAGTTAAAGTCAAAGAACTTGGCTCTGGCGCTTCATTGTTTATACCCTAAACTCTAAAGATATGTTTAAAAAAAAAAACGTATAATGCAGATTTGAAAATGAAGGAAGTGAATGAATAAACAGTTTTGAAAATGTTTTTTTTTTTATGTAACAAACAAAAAGAAGCGTCTACAATCAGATAAGGTTAAATCCATATTCAGTATAAAGAGTCTAATCGAAAGACAGATATTATTAGTGCCAGAAAATTGTATTTAAAATAATATAATTGATCACCGATTCCATAAAATCGATACAAAAAAAATATCAATCGAGAGGTTGATGTACCAAATTTAATATGAATTCTCTCGTAAAGATAGCTCTCGAATTGGCCGATTTTTTCTACATTTATCTAAGGGAGATAAATAATCATAATTAAGGTATGTAATATTTATTTATTTATTTAGCTAACTACGAATGCATTTAAGAGATGGGCCCAGGATATCTTATTGTCCCCGCTACGAAACGAACGACAAAGTTTTGATTCGCAATTAATTACAAGCAATCGGAAAAATCTGTGCGTTTTCATTTATACAAAATTAATTGGGAGTGTCATCCACAGAGATAACGGAAATTGTAATCCTTGCAACTATGTCCAACAGCATATTAAGGCTAAAAATTGAGTTCAGCAATTATGTACTGAATATGTGGACTGAAAATGCTTGTCTGTTTGAGTTTCATTCGTTCTGTCAAAAGATATTAATATAAAACAATGAAATTGATTTCAATAAATCTAGATAGAGAGAGAGAGAGAGAGAGAGAGACTATTAAATACTAAAAACAATCGTAAAATATTGATTTTTAATTTGAATGAAATAACTTCAATATAGAATAAATAACTCAGATATAATTGGCATACGTTTTAAATAAATGCTTATATTTAAAACTTCAAGAAGTTAAATGGACAGGAGATTAATTTTGAAAGCATATTTAGTTGGGACTCATAATTTTCGACTTTGCTTTCCCATCCATATCACTTATTAAAACTGTTAATTCGTTTTTCAATTAGGGTAAGACAAAGTCTAAGCTCAGAAGCAACAAATTGTTAGAAATATTTTGTTATGTCCAAATTCGAAATGGCCTCAACATTTGCAGTTGACTGAGAAGGCAGTTTAATTTGCTAAAGAAATTGTGGACAAAAACTTTTTGACATTTTTCGTTATTTATGTGCTTTGGGATATTTAGGAAAAAAGTTTTTGTCCAACTAAGCAGTTAATGCGATATTGATTTATTCGCTAGTCGGCAGCAACAAAAGCAGCAGCAGCAGCAGCAGCAGCAGCTGCCCAAGATATTCGTGATAAATATTATGCAGCTGGCATATTATATAAGTATATACACATTTATATTATTTAAAGAACTGAAGCCAAAAACTTTGCATTGGTTTCAAGTAAAAAAAAAGGAAAGAATTTCTGGCTACAGCTTTGGTCAAAGTTTCAAATACATGACTTCTATGCTGGATAAAAAATGAGTAGGGAAGTTGTTGTTGAGAGTGCTAATTAAGGGATACTCGTAATTCGCCATTAAACACGGCGAATTTTCCACAATGAATCGTTCAAGACCAACGGAGTCAAGGTCTCCAGATCTCAACTAGATTGAGAATTTGTGGTGCAAAGTAATAAAGACAGTTTCTAATGTTTATTCAATCATTGGGGGATTGTCCAAGACCTCTTTGACATCGGTTTCTCTGGTGACGTAGTACTAAGACTGTAACAGTTGTCACATAACATGCAACTATGTGCTTAACTATGATATCGATAACTATCGATAAACTTGTTATGCCTTATGTATTTGGTCAGGTAAGAGTAAGAAAGAAATTTTAATTAACAGTAAACTTTTAACGTCATCTATTGCATACCCAGAGTCAACTTCCTGCTTTTAGACTCTAATACCGAAGGTATACAAATGGGAATGGCTATATCTTCCGCCATTTTTGAGCCGTAAAATTTGTTAGGTTTATTACAGGTTGCCGCGGAAAATGTAAATTGATAAATCCGCATATCTCCCACAATTTTAAACACAAAGTCACCAAACTTGAGAGGTAGGTTAATAAAATCATCCTCCAATGGCTTCCTAAATTTGTAAAAGTCAATATTTCTTTTGCAATTTTAAAACAAAAGCGTGAAAATTACTCCAACAAATTCATATCGCTGGAAAATGTATGTTGGAATGGGAATAAAACCAGAGAGATGAGGGAAGAAAGAAACGCAATGTGGACACTGTTATTAAACGATGAGTAGGCATTGAGAGCGCACAGAGAGTTCCGCGAGCATTCTTGAATTATTTAATATTATTTGAGACCGACATGTATATGACTATTAATCTGTTTTTATACCCTGACAAAGCGTATATTAGTTTTGTGAAATTATAATTATATTAATCATTCATATCTGCGTCAAGCGAAATGTTCAGATCGGAATCCTAAACGAATTGCAGATCTGAGAAGTTAATAATAACAATGACAAAAAAAGACGATTCACCTTAAGGTGCAAAATTAATAAAAGTATACAAATTTGGTTGCCGATAATCAGATCATAGCAATCACTTAATAATATATATTCCAGCAGTCTACTTACGATTGAAATTTTCCAGGATCATTAGTAATGTTATAGAACCCTAATTATGAGAACAATATTTATTACCAGTATTTTTTTGTGGATTTTTTTCATTGATTATTATTACTTTTTTCACAATGTCATAATATTTATTTTTGGGATAACGTATGTTTTAGTGATAGTTCTAAATATAAAATGTATTTATTTTATTTTAATTCTTTTATTGATTATTGATATTTATATATGTTATTTCAGTCATCAATATTGTGCTACTTTAAAGCATAAATCATACTTAATTTCAAAATGTATCTATGATATTTGTGAATAAAGTATAAAATAATAATTTCGAGGGTTACTTTCTTATAGAAATTTATAATAATTCTTAGATTGAGAAGAAAATCACTTCATAGTTAAGAGACAAGGGAAACGACGAATCTATATGATTAAACCATTGGCACATATTGAAGAATATTGGTTATGATTCTTTCTTTAGAAGAAATCTGTATTTAAAAGTTCCCAAGTCTCTAGAGAAGCCCAACAGGGACCTCAAATTTCTGCAACTGTAACGAAGCCTGATTAAATACAGAACTTTCCACATTTTGTCCCACTTATTTTTAATTTATTTGGGTTACCTTAAAGGTTAATGCGTCTTCAATAAAATCTTGTAAGGTTTGGGATAAATTAATGGATGAAAATTCACAAATTTTGGTGTAAGGCATTACCAAAGTTTGCTTTATAAGGAAAGCCGTTGGATTATCTGCTAGACAGGGTATGGAAAACTGTAAGCGATTAAGTTGTGTGCTTTGCGTAGAGACTTTGGGGGCAAGTTTTCATGAGCTGCCAGACAGCTGAAGCTAAAGATCTCAAATATCAAAGTGCGACAGACGAAAAAGTTGAAGTTTCTATCAAAAGGCAACAAAGTTTGGGCTGAAAAACTTGGACTGCCAAGTTGTGCGACAAAAGGCGCGAAAAAAAAACATGAAAACCTTTTTTAATTTTGTTTGCCTTTCTTGAATTTACAGTGATTTTGTCAAAAAAAGGCAAAAAGTTGTTAATTATTTTCGCAGGACGTTTTTGTCGTTGGCGAAAACAATGGCGCATAGCGCATAGCCAGCGACACTAAAGCATTTTTTGCGAATCCTTTTTCACTTAAGTGAGTCAAACTAAACTTTAAGCATCAATGGTTATATTTTGGCCAAACTGCATTTGTTAAACTGCAAGGAGGCATTAGTACTTGGCAAACTGTTCAAAAATTGTAATTTGTAACTGGTGTGGAGGAAATACTCTGATATCGAAGGCAATATAGTATATTGGTTTTGTGCCATGTTCGTCATGCTGGCTGACTATGCATATGAACTCAACTTATTTCGATAATCGCAAATTGAGCCCTTAAACAGGCCAAAAGCTTATATTTTTCACAATTGAAGAGATAAAGTTACCAAACAAATTTCTGTTCCTTTCCACCTATTATTAGCTGTTATTATATTAGTACCAGAGTATTTCTAAGTCAGCTATGGTCGATTGTAATCTTCTCACTTCTTTGGACCTGTTTAGTGCCAGCCATTTGGTACTGACCAGTGCTAAAGCCAAATCCTCGGGCTAGTTGGCAGTCGAGCTGACCGCCATTTGACCCATTTGCTTAATTATTCATTGCTCAGCATTATGAGCATAAAT